ATGGAGCGCTGCGGCCGCCTCCCCTGCCTGCCGCGCCGCGCCCGGGCTGGGGCTGGGGCTGGGGCTGGCTCACCTGCGCGCCTCCGACAGCGCCCGGTCACACCGCGCTTTGCCGAGGCGCTGAAAGCGTGGGAATTCCCGGTTCTTACTTGTGGGAAGCAGCGGTGCCCCTGCCTCCCGGGGCAAGGGGGTTGGGGAAAGCAAAGGCAAAGCAATATATTTGTATTTGTGGGTTTCCGCCAGAGAGGAAGTGCAATTTTTGATTCTTGAGGCATAGGAAGCTCTGAGAGACCCGCAAGGACGCATTCCTGTCTCAGCAGTGCTAGGTGGTCTTTAGATTATCTCCAGAGGTTCCTTCCATCCCTAGCGATTGTGTGATTCTCTCGGGCACCGAGTCGTGTGGCTGCAAAATAGCATTGCAGGGTGGCAGGGCAGGGCCGTGCTTCTGGCCCTGAGCGGGTTCAACTGCAATACAAATACCTGCTACGGCATTTGCAGTGCACGATCCGCGCCTCGGCTTTCCCCAAACTGCATCTTACATGTGCCACCTCACTTGGAAATATTTCTAGTAGCTCCACATGGCACTGTGCCGTGAACCATTAATGTGTTCCTCAAAAAAGGAAGTGCTGGTGAAAAGGTTGCTGAAGAACTCCACCCAAAGTAGTTGGAGCGATTAAATTGAGCCAGCTCAGTCTTTTAACATGTAAATACACTTTTCATTCTCATCTTCATTATGTTTATAAATCTTAGTAATTTACTGCTGCATATCCATCTCCCCTGGTAACTTTTCTTAACAATAGTATTTTTTTCAGGGTCACACCTTCATTAGCCGAAAAGTGTAAAGTATTAGCAGTGACATTTCTGGACTCATTTGTTAATATGTGCAGCAATTGCTGTAACTGCATATGCGCCCGACTTAAAGCAAAACAGCAGTTCATACAGTTTCAACAATTATATGTATTCACGTTTCATTTAAGATGACCTTTAGACCTTTTCTGGTCTGTTTTCCACTTTTTCCATGACCATGATTTTACAAATACTAAAAATGCTAATTTATCAAGGTCACTGGGAGCAGGAATCACTATGGTGATTTGGGCTCTGTAGTCTCTGCAAGTACATGACACCGTGTGCTCTGACATTGAGTTCTCATATCTGCAGCCTAAACATGATTATCTCAAACTTATTCCCACTCATGAGCAAATGAACCATTCATTGGTAGCTATGAAGTAAGCTACTTAACCATGACAGACAAGTGTTGCCAATTTAGGGACTCTCTAAACACTGACACAGAGCGTAGTTTAGAAAGGAGACATAGTTTATTCTGTGCAGGGGACAAGGTGGAGTTTTCCACAAATAAAGCACAGCAATCCTTGAAACTTTGCACTAAATGTATATGTATTTTAGCAAACAAATCACAGCTCATTGGTTGCAAGTTACTTAGTTCTCTTATTAATTAGTATTCAACCTTTTATTGGTTGAATGAATCTCGTGTTTCTCATGCTAATGTGTCTGCATACTCACCTGATGCTAAGTAGGAGGGTTTCTTGAGAAGGTGGTCAGTGAGTTACTGGTCGAAATCTCTCTCACTGTGAGACTTGAGCCCATGAATTGCCCCGATCGGAACTTTTTGTCAGGACCTGTAGTGATAGGATAAGGAGTAATGGGTACAAATTGACTGAGAGGGAATTTAGTTTGGGTATTGGGAAGAAATAGTTCCTGTGAGGGTGGTGAGGCATTGGAACACGTTGCCTAAGGAGGCTGTGGATGCTCCATCCCTGGGTGTTTTCAAAGCCAGGTTGGACGAGGCCTTGAGCAGCCTGGTCTAGTGAGAGGCGTCCCTGCCCACGGCAGGCGGGGTTGGGCCCCTTTTAGGGTCCCTTCCAACCCCTTAACGTTCTATGATTCTAAAGACCTCAGACTATGCAGTCAAAGGTAACCCTTCATTCAGGGTCCCCCCTTTGAGGCTGTCTGGCCTTTTTCGCTGTTAAGAGACTGTTTCACATCACCCTTCTCACTCTCCCTAACTCCCTGTGCAGATGACCATTTCTGCCGCTTGAGATGCCGGTGTCAGAAGCGCACGGGGTCGGGGGAGCGAGGCCCGTGCGCGCACGGACAGCGCGGTATTTGCTGCGACTCTGTGGTGCTGGCGGGCCCGGCGCCGCCCCAAGGGCAGCGAAGCCGCGCCACAAGATGGCGGCGGCAGGGGAGGAGGGCGGGCGGCCGCCCGAGGAAGCGCCGGGGGAGCGGAGCGGCCGCACCCTGGAGGGCCCGGGGAGGGCCGGCAGCAACACGGACAGCGACGAGACTGTGGTGGAGGGCTCTGTGACGGAGAGTGATGTGGAGGAGGAAGAGGAGTTCTGTAGGAGGAGGTGGTAATGCGGTGTGACTGCGAGCGCCACCTGCCCACCTGTTTGTGTGGGGGCGGCGGCGTCTGATGGGGCCGCTCCCGAGCTAAGAGTTTCTTCTTTCATTTTTTTTCTTTTCTTTGTTTTGTTTTGTTTGTTTTTGTTTTCTCCGCTCTGTTCAGAGCCGTTTTATATGTTTCTAGACCCAGTATTTCTTAGCTCTGCAAGTAGCTCCATTTATTTTCACACATCTTGTGTGCCTTGGTGCTTATGCGTTAGGACCCACCATTTTAGTAACATTTTAGTCAGCAGAAGTGAAATATCCCAGAAAACAATTAGGAGAAAATAAATACTATTAAATACAGTTCTTGCTAATTCTATTTCCCTGCAACTTGCCTTGATGTCATTTCTGTCGTGATATTATCTCTCGCATCCTTTAAGATATAGCAAGGATTTGAAACCACATGCAGATATTTGTGATGGCTTTGTGGCACGATGGTTCTTGGAAATACTTAGAAGCAGCGAGGTGCCTCCCTAGTGACGTGTCTATATGCAGAAAATCACATGCATCTCTAGAGTTTGGGAGTTTTTTACAGTTTGTGTCAGCGGTCGCCCAGGCGTGTCCCCACGGCAGAGGCTGGGATGGGTGCTTTCAGACGCCCTTTGAGTTTATGGACTGTAAAGCACACAACTCCTAAACGACCTTTTGTTCTATTTATTTTGTGAAGGTTGGCTTATCTTAACAAGGACATTGCTTTAACAACTGAGATAAGTGTTAATAAAGGTAGGACGGATTCTTTTTTCAATCTGTGTTGATTCTTCTCTTTAAAATGTTGCTTTGGATTTTGCCTGAGTCCTTTAAACTTGAGTGTTGCATGAAATTCATGCTTAGGAGCTGTGTGCTTTTTTTGATTACATTCCAAATTTTAGCTCATATTTTAAAAGATTCTTCAGCACATTTTTAATATTTGATTAGGTTTGCTCTTGAGTTCACTGTTCTTCCTGTATACTGTGACCGAGAATCCCTGTCTTGGGAAGCGTTTGAGCCATATATAGGGATGTCCTTTTTATTTACATGTATGTATTTTTGTGTACATGTTTGTGCAGAATAAAATAAATTGATTCTGTATGCATAACAGTTGTATGTAACTTTAGCTGCTTATAGTATTTTAAAAATCCCATTAATACTGCTAGTATATCTGTTCTCTTTAACACAAAAAGTTTGAGTAGGGATATTTCAGTGCATTATGTTTAGCGTATCATTAAATACTTTCAACATAAATGGATGCTCACTGATTTAATGTCTTAAAATATTCCCTAATAGCTCCCACAGAGCAGGTTGCATGAGCAAACATGTTTTAGTTATATAATAGTTTCACATCACTTCCTTGTCATTTTTATATGTTACATTTGACTTGCATCCTATAGATTTTATTTCAGTGATATTTCAGACTGGCTATTCTTTAAGTGACACATGGTGTTTTTCCAGATTTGGTTATGTTTATCTTTTTGTCAAATTGAAGGTCTGAGTGAACTATAATTTTTTAACAACCTGCTCTGAGTTAATACGGATCTTATCTTCAGCCCATTGTAATCTGCAGAAACTCCAATGGCTGAAATTTCCTAATGCTGAACTTTTTATAGTTGCTTAATAGTCTTAAGTGAGGAGAGAAGCATCATCCCATTTTGAGCTTCCCTGTGGCTGTCCACTGGAATTAAATCCTTGCAAGATTCAACATACATGGTTTGGGGCATGTCTGACTGTGTTCAGTCAATTGTACTCTGCAACTGTAATAGATTGTGATATTTTTAACATTCTGCCTGCATCATATTATATTTAGTAAGTTGGAATTAGAATTTCATCATTCACAGTTTAGTGCATACTTGTATAATGGTAATTTGATGATAAGATACATAGTGTAAATATGAATTTGATTAGTATTTTGTTACTGTCAGTAACAACATCTTAGTTTTCCAGCATAGGGTCCAACCTTAAGGCTTTCTCTCTTTCTAATTTTTTTTTGAGGGAAGATCTTAATTTGTATAGTCACTAAAGAAACAATGCCGTCTAGGAGTACAAGTATATTTTAATCGCATGGATCAGGTAGGTTACCAAAATTGCAGTTTTTAATTTGAAACATAAGTGGAAAGGCCTATTCTCCAGTGCAAAATTTGGGATGGTAGTGGAATACTAAGTGAAATAAATTTCCACTGCTGGCTGGTTTTAATAATTTCTATTTCATACATGTAGTTTCAAAATCTGGTGTGATAGATTATTTAGCCAGTTGCATATCAAAAGTTTTGATGCATGTAGCTCAGTTACTGAATTATGTAAAAAGTTATGGAATTACAGAAAATTACACAGAAATTAAGACAATCAAAATTTTAATTACCAGGGATTTTTTTTTTCCTAGGAACTTTTTCTCCAGAAATCTCTTTTATACGGAAATTTGGTGACCACACATATTATCACAGGACAGAACAGATAAATCCAGTAAGTCCAGCAATGATAATGTCTTCTCTAAGCATAGCTAATGATTAATTATTAATAAACCCACTGGGCCTCCCCTTGAGGGGATTTGGTGGCTAGCAGCCAAATTGAATTTCGTCTTGTCACCTATGTAGCACATAGTCTGCAGGAATGTGTCAAAGTGGCTTCTCTGTTTTTTCATGAGATTATAACGTCTCAAATTTGAGGAACAAGCCCAGAACAAAGATGAAGAAGTTGTGGAGCACAGACTTTTTGATATGTTCTCTTCAGGAGGTGAAGGGTAATCATCTGAGTTGACTGTGCCAGCATACACCCTGAATTACTCACTATGAGATTAGCTGTTATCCAATGATTGATCAATTGTTTCTTTCAAAGGGAAAGAGATAATGATCCAAAATGTAGAAGAAAATGTCTGCTTGCATGATGAGGGGTAATTATTTTACTCTATGGATAATTCTGCATTCCCTAACCTGCTAATTAGCCTGCCTTTTAATGTATTTACCGTGGTTGGTAGCTAGCCCATAAACTTCTATTCAATTGAGCAATTAGGTTTCCACCTCGGCAGGGTCATGAAACAATTAGAGACAAACAGGTTCTCAGCTTTTAACTGTGACTGTTACACTCTATTTAGCCTGGAATCACCTGTCTAAAGCCCACAGTCTGTGTATCCTTATTCCAGTAAAATAGAGTTTTTCTAAAAAGAGCTAGACTGCTTCCTAGATGACAAAAGGTACATTGAAAAAAGATAAGCTTTCTACTGATGGGAATGCTTTACAGCTCATTCTAGGATTGCAAATAAATTTATCTCAACTGACAGTGTGGGAAACAGTGAACAAAATCCAAAATAAGCTGTTATTTAAAAGATTTTTCTCCATAACTTAATTTTGCTCCTTGCATGTGTGAGGGTTGTCTTGACTGAAGTTTATCATGATTTTCTAAGGATGAAGGGAATGAGAGAAGTGCACTTTGCTCTTTCCCTTTCCTTTCTGGGAGATGATCTGACTAACTGCTTCCTAACCTTAGCCTGTGGCTTCAAGAATTTCACCAGATTAGCCAATTCCAAATCTAAGGACAAATTCCCAGTCCACTAAAGAAAAAGTCAGAAAAGCAAAGAAACTTACTAGTTTTCACCAAATAGTTTGAGTAATTGTTAGTATCTTTTGTTTTGATGGGACCTGTATAGCAAGACACTGGCAGCTTGGTCATGCACAGCTTGGGGACAATATAAAATACTAAATTTTTACTGAATACTGTAAGGAATGTCCTTGGCCTGTTGTCTTTGATACCCATGAGTATACATAGCACCAGTGTGGCTCTTCAACCACTTCAAGAGCCAACATCGAATGGACTTTCATAGAAGCTTTCCTTCTACGTCCTCAGAAATTATAATATATGAATACAAGCATTTAGATGTGATGTGATTTGAGGTTTGTGCAGAGTAGATGGCTGTGAATGTTTTTATAAAAAGTAACATCTGTTTCAGTTGTTCTATAGAGTCTTGGCTTTCTTTGTACTTCAAATGGGTTATGGGAGACTTAGGATATGCAGTCCTGTCTTTGATTCCGTAAGGTAAAAAAATGTAATTAAGAATTTTCATCTACCAGAGATACAGTAGACATATATACAGATTTAGTAGGATCCAAGTTCTTTTAAACAAGTAATTTTCATTATCTGTTAACATGGTATTCTATAGCTTGTTTAGGCAGATATAATGATTGTTAGTTTGTGCTGTCCCCTTTTTTATATTTTTTTTTTCCTTACGCTGTTTGGTGAAGTGCACCAAAAGTTGTTAGGTAACACCTAAGAGCTTTTAAGCATTAATCTTTTTTTGGAAAGCATCCAGAATTCCCCTCATATAGTTGTCTGTATAAATAAGTGTTCAAGTGAGAAAAAAATACTGAGATTTTGCAGAGTTTCTTCATCAAAAAGGAGGGCAGGACGAAAGGTTGTTCCTAGTACTTTAGTCAGTGGCCAAAACCACCATTTGTGTAATGTATATGGTTGGAGAAGATGTCTCAACCAGTGAGCAATATACTGATTTTGCTTAAAAACAAGTATTTTAGCAGAAAAAAATAGCATCTTCTTCCGAGTTATAATGGTAGTTTGCTGAGATTTTTAAGCATCTCTCTGAGCAGTGTTAACCAGTTAGAGAGGTTTAGTAGTTTTTCTGGTTTTCTCCTTACTTGGTCTCTGGATAATGTTCTGTGTAAATATTCAAGCTGACTCACCTGAAGGGTCTATTTAAGCAAAATAAATAGCTTTCTGCAAATTATCTCACTACCATGCTTTGGAAATACATCTGTCAATAATTGCACAAACTGAATAATCTGTTCTGTTCCAGGGAGCCTTTTAGTAGTGCTTGCTACTGGGAAATTTCTGTCTTGCTCTTCTTAAAAACGAGATTCACTTAATAAGTTATAAAAATAATTTAATATAAACAAAAGACAATTAGGAGACAAAAGAAATAAAGCAAAGGGTTAAAACGGCCGGGTGCCCTGGCGCCTTGCCAGGAACACCCCTGGTATTTCGGGGAACTCTTTTATTCCCCCCTTGTTGTGAAGGTTTAATGCATATTCAAAGCGTCCCCTCCCTGGTTCCGCCTTCTTAGATCATGCTTTTTTTACAATTTTATTTTCTGCTGGTCAGCATATTTTTTGCTGGTTATCATTATTCTAGTTGGTCAGCATTATTTTGGAGTTTGGTTTCCTTTTTGCTGCAGATGGTCACTTGTTGATAACAGCCTGGGCCACTCATCCTTCCCCTGAGGGCAGCTGGTCTTCATATCTTCCGCTGATAACAGTTCGGGTTCTATTGTTCTCCTGATAACAGCTTGGGCCCCAGTGTCCTTGCCCTCTGGGGTTTCTTTGCCTTGTACCTAGGAAATCTTTTTAAACCTAAGACTTGTTAGCAAAAAAGTACATACATAGCTAAAAGGTATTTAATATATAATATTCATCTACGAAAGCCAATATCACAATACACATTTATAACACTTCTGAAGCAATTGTTGAGATGTTTGTTCTTATTGTGTGGCTAGTACTTTGTGTAAGCTAGAGAAGTTGTCACTTAGTGTCCACACCAAGGTGTTCTTTCTTAGAGTCCTCTATTGCTGTTAATGTAGCCACTGTAAGTCAATGGTTTGTTTAAAATTGCAGCTGGTGTGTGATAGTCCACTAGTAATACCCAGTCTTAGCTCATCAGTGAGAGGATCATTCTGCAATTCACTTGACTGTCTTGATCATTCCTAGTTTGCTTTAGACTTTGTATAAAGGCTACATTTTCCATACCGAGGGACATTTCTGCATTATTGGCAAAGGTACAAAAAGCAGATCCAAGGTCTCTGTAATAAGGAGTTGGAATTTGGCTCCTGCTGTGAGATCAGTGCTCTCCTTACCCACCTGATCTTTCCTGTGTTGGCTTGTGGCAGCCCTGCCACTCAGAACCAGCTGGTGTGCAAGTCTGGAAGTTCCTTAAATACGATACTTATAGGGGTCTTGAGAGCACTATACTAAGTATCTCTTTGAAACAACTTTCTAAACGTGCCTTTGGAGCAGCACCCTGTCTTATTTAATGAAAAATGTTGTCTAAAAAAAGATTAAAACTGTGAGTTGAAATAAAAATACCTTGTGTTTTGGTCCTTTGATGTATAAAACATCTTAAGTTTGAAGGAATCGTGTCTTTCTTGCAACAGTTTGTTTTTCTTGTGGGTGAATGTTTTTTTCTATGGTATTGATTTATTTTTAAACATTTTTGTCAAACAGTACAAGTAAAAAAAGTTTTAAGTGGAATGCTTTTATATCTTAATAGTAATGTATGTTATTATTGGATGTAAGAATTCCATTCCCCAATTAAATTACAGAAAGAAGAAGATAAGCTCACAATAAGACTGAGAAAATAAACAATTAAATACTTTGTTTACTAACTTGTTAAGTTTTTGATTCCTTTGCAGGTACTTCAAGAGGCATCCACATCTGAGCAGTCTCAGTCCCTGCTGAAGTGAGTATAATATGTCATATAGGAATTCCAGTCAGGCAAAATTAAGTAATTGAGTAGTTCTGTTATACTTCCATTTGTATCTTGTTTTATTCCCAGTGTTCAGTTGAGAAACAGTTTTCATGTTTGCTTAGTGAAGGATCTGTATGTCAGCAGTAGTTCAGTGTCCAATATGGGTCAAGCTGTAGTTGGATTTATTTTTGTTGATGATGCTACCTTAAATGGTTTAAGAACGTAACCATTTAAGTTACAACAAGAGTAATGGAACTTGGTGAAAACCATTAGACAAATAAAAGTTTGTATTAAAAATATTAGATTTTTGCTCTTGGAAATGATGGAAAGATTTCAGTAGAAAATAGATTTATAAAAGAAATGTAGAGAGAAGTAATAAAGAATAGAAAAGGCCTTTTTTTTTCCACTTAGAGAATAAATGTGCAAATGTTGCTAGCTCCACACAGGAAATCCAGAAGTGTTATTTATTGCATATCCTTGTAAAAAAAAGTATATGTCTAAAATAACTACAGCTGTTTCTACAGGTAGCAGCCAACTCAAAGTACTGCAAAAATGTTCCTAAAATGAGCAGATTACAATTCTTTAAGAATTTTTTTATTGTATTATTTCATTTTAGGGGTTGGATAAACCATTCATCATCTACTGAAAATATTTCTAAGCCTGGTTTTTTATTAAATTCTGCAGCAGAAGAACCGCAAAATAATTCTGTAGGTATGTTTTATTTGTAGAAAACTAGGAATCGCTCTAGCTGTGGCAAAATCATTTGAGAAAATCATTTGATAAGCTGAAGATGAGTATCCATGTTGGTTTATATAGAATCTGACTATATGTGTTTTTTACAACAGTAGTTCAGTTTTTATAGTCATGTATTGCAAGTTCTGTTTTTTTAAGTATTCTGCTAGGATTGTTTGAGGAAGTATCTGTTTTCTCAAGCCAGTGGTATATATCCAATTTTAAATTATTTCATTGCTATGGAATTTTCTGACAAAGGTTACAGGCCACATGGTGCTTAAAATACCTTGTAGATATTTAAGGTAAACAGGTCATGGAGGGTTCCTACTTGCATCTTTCTAACACATCCAAGTATCAGAGGCACCTGTAAGAAAAGAGAAACAAAAATGCTACTATTCACCAGGTCTGTATGGCAGGTGCTGCTACTTAAGTTGTACTTCCATTCCTCAGTGTTCCCAGAAGTGCAGGACTGCCCTGTCTGTTTTGCTGTCTTCCACTTGAGCTTATTTTTGGTAATCCAACAGAAAAACATTCACTTTATTTCTGATTAGGAAATTGCCATCATTCACATGAATGTTGAAACAGTGATGAGATCAGGGGGTTTGGGATCATTGCTATAGAGGCAATAAGTTATTGGATTATTTTACAGTAATGTCTGCACTGTAATTAGAGAGGGCAGAGGCTAGGTCTTGTCATGTGAAATGGGTGGCAATTGCACCTGCTGATGGTCTTTGGAAACACAGGGCTCTAAACTGCAGTGAAGAAATGTGACAAAATAGCTCTGGCATATCATTTGGTGACTAACAGAGCCTAACCAGAAATTTTATTGTCAGTTCCACTTAGGGAACATGACAGGTAATTTTTAAGGTTTGAAAATTAAGCCTTAGTTAGGAAATTATGCCATTTTTTTAAGAGACGATGAGAACTTTCAGAAGTGGAAAGTAAAACTGATATATTTTTTTATTCTCCTAAATTTAGATATCAAATTGAATGGATTTCAGAAGGATGCAGAAGAAAAGGTGAGCACATAGCTGTTGACACTGACACTGAGCACTTTTAAAACAACTTTAAATCTAAGCTTTATTTTCTGTTTTTTCAGTAAGAACTGTAGTTGCTAAGCTTGCAGTACACAGGAATAGAAGCATAGCAGTTAAAGTGAGGTGGGAAAGACATCATCATGAGCCATAATCTATAAGGGCTGTTACTTAAGCTAAAGTAATGAAGACACTTAGTAGCTTAAAATGTTTCCCACCAATGAAAGCTATGAGACAGGCAATGCATTTGGAGGGTCTCTGAGGAGGAAGAGGTTATCTTTAACTGTCTTTTTGTTTGGATGAGTCTTACTTGTGGCCAGAAATAGGTAGTAGCAGAGTTTCTGCTGTGGAAGACTCTGCTTAAGGCAACTGTTGTATCATTATGGCTGTACCATCTAGTCCCATTGTTTTGTACCTATAAATATAAAGTTAGGATTCTATATAAATCAGTTTACTTGGCTTTTTTCAAGGATCCTGACTGAGGTTTATGTCAGGGAAAAAGCAGTTCTTGGTAGAATTCACTGAAGGTAGATTTGAGACCCGTCTTGATACTAAGACTAGCCAGACAGGAACTTTCTAACACAATTTTGAGTATTTGAGAGCAGGCTTTCTTTACTGCAGCAGTGGTCACTTGCAGGATCCTTCCTCCAGTTGAGTGCCCTGAGGATCTGGTGAACAGAGTGTTTATCACACAGATCAATCATGCATTCATTAGCTATCCCCCCTTACTTAATAACTATTATTTTATTTTACACAGTTGCACCTCTTATCAAAAGTCCTTATATGGTTCTTTAGGATCGTCTTTAGCTATTTTCAATGTCCTTTTTAGGTGCCTATTCCTTGACCCCTGCTTTTGAGTAAGCATGGTATCACTGTTTTGCATAACTTCCACTTTGTTGGCCTTGCAGAGCTGAGCTGACGTCCTTCTTGCATTTTGCATGGCATCTGTTTAAGTTACGTCCTTTATCTATTTCTCCAGGGCTGTGCTGTTCTGTTCCACTGTCCTTACCAGAGTAAAATGCTGCTCTGTTCTACTGTCCTTATTGTTCATGCATATTCCTGCAAATATGAGTGATGACAGGGTCAAATATTCCATCTTAGAACAAAGGGGAAAAAGTGAAATCTCCTAGGATATTATTAAACTATAAGTTTATTAAATGAAACATTCTCATTGTACAAGACTAGTCCCATAGAACAAATTCTAAATGCCTCAGAGAATGCCTATTATTACTAGCCTCTGGAGAATAGGCAGATTGAATGCTTTGAAAGTATCTCCAGAGATAATATTTTAGGAGTCTGGAGTAAGAAGGCTGGAAATAACTACTATAGTGAGTTTTTCTTCTTGGAGATTGGCTGATGTTGGCACTAGCAAGGTCTGAGTCCCACAGAAGGATCTTTAGTGAGGTGAACCAATGGCTGTGACAGTCTTCCATATACTGATTTGAAGCAAGGTCAAGACAGACACCTTGATAACCAGCAGTGAGTCATTGAATATCTCAGTTTTGTATGTCACTGAAAATATAAAATAAATCTATAAATTATCTATGCATAGAATTCTGACATAACTACTCTTACTGAGTTTTCATGGTTTTGATGATGTAGCAGCACTGATTTCTGTTGTGGTTAGTCTGTCAGTAGTGGGGCCAATACTAGTACTGTTCAATGTCTTCATTAGTGGCCTGGAAAATGGAACACACTGCACCCTCAGCAAGTTCAGAGATGATGCTAGGAGGAATGACTGTTAGACCAGATAGCTGTGTTGTTATTCATAAGGACCTGAACAGATGGGAAAACTGGGACGAGAGGAATCCCATGAAATTAATCAAGGGGAGATAAGGAGTTCTGCATCTGGAGAGAAATAACCTCAGGCACCAGTACAGCTGGGGACTAGCTGACAGGAAAATAGTTTTTCCAGAGAAGGAGTTTGGAATCCTGGTGGACCCTCTACTCTGCTCTTGTGAGAGCCCACCTGGACTACGGTGTCTGGAGTTTTGTGAACATGTCACATTTAAGGATTGAATTTCAGTTGACTTTGGGGTTTTTAGGATCTTGCAAAATTTCACCCACTCTTCAACAAATGCACTGAACTTTTTTCTTGGGAAATTTGTAAATGTATACATGCTGTTTATACCATAGTTCTTTAATAAGAGAAAGTTATACCAGTGTATTTTTCTTTTTCCCCAGCTTTTTAAAGTCTAGGTGAGTTAGAGAAATGGTGTAAAAGTGTAATTCAATAAAGCAAAGTAAGAGGTAATCAGTACTTAGAAACAATTTGATGCACATGTAAAAGATAGGAAACAGCTGTCAGGGGAATAATTTTTCAAGAAAGACTCAGGGATTTATGGTAGCTTGCAAACTGAACCTGAGTGTGTGCTGTCTGATTTCTACCCTTTCTGTTTTATTGTGTGTGAACTTTATCTAAATCATGTCACCAGTAGTTAAAGGTTTCTTGCATTGCCTGGTATTGCCACTTGCTGGCAGCAAGACTCCAAAAATGCATTGAAAGAGATTTTCTTAGATTTCTTAGATTTTCTTAGAGCGGTATTATATGCAAATTTTATATAGAAAAAAAGCATGGGTTAGGTATCAGGAGGCATCATATTTTTTTTTCTGCAGAGCATTTAAAACAGGGATAAGGAAAAAAATAGGAGAGGAATTTCTTCATATAAGAATGGGTGCTTCTGTTGAATGTAGCTCAAAGTGATTAGAAAAACAGCAGTATTACTTTTCCAAGAACAATTACAATTTTATGTTCTGTACCCAGTGTAGAAACCACACCATGAAAACGTCTCAAAATCCTAAGGTTTTGAACTGAAATTTGCAAAGATACAAATCCTCCACACCTGTATTGGATTCACATAAACACGTAATCAAAGCTCTTATATTGTGTTTTATTAACTATGTATTTTTAGTTTGTGTGAATATGTTTACTTCCATTAATTCTATGTGACAGAAATTTTTAAAGACTTTCTTTTAAATCCTTGTAACACTCTCAGGTTATTTGCCATTGCCATTGGCAATGACATAGTATCTTTGATTAAAAGATTTAGTCTCTTTACCCTGGATTTTCACTGCTATAGAAGTCAACAGCTGAAGTTGAGACTTCTTTTGAGAGCTCAGTCTAACTGTATTTAATGTATTGTATGAAGGAAGGCTTTGAGTCTTGCTGATTTTGCAAAAGTGCATAATAAATTGTACACACATATATAGAAAGAGAGATGACTTCTAAAGTGAATTTCAGTTAAATGCTTTTTAGAAAGAGTTCCTCCATTTTTTTGGTAAACTTTTTAAACTTAATTTTTATGTATCACTAAAATTAAGTAATGAAGATTGCTTTCCAGAAATAAGCCTCTGTCTACATGATCCTGTGGAAGACATAATAACAGTTTGAAAGGAACAGACCAGAAGATACATTTCCACATGTTTTAGATAATTGCTGCAGAACCTGCATGACCATTACTGACACAGATAACACAGTAAAAGAGCATTCCCTTAATAATGATACAGATCTTTCACTGTCATCCCCAGGGAAGATTTTCATGGATGTATTCACTGAACAGAATATAGAGACTAGTGAAGTTGACATCAGTGATTTGTTGAGCTACCCTAGTGATTCTGAGAGTCTTAAAGTTAAAAATCCATTGCCTGGCAAGTTAGAGTGTCAGGGTCATGCCTGTTCCATTGATCCATCAGCAGCTGAGAGCAGTGATGCCCTGCCAGTAGAGCTTGTGCTGCCTCTGAATGCCTTGTCAGGATCAATGGTACAAGCTGCCACTCCTGTAGTGCCAAATGAGAGACAGTTTAATGCCAAGGAAGAGCAGCTAAATTCAGAAACCAGTATTCTGCAGGTAGATTATGACTGTGCTCAAATAACAAACGTGATGGAGCCTTGACTTGCTACAATTCAGGTGGAAAAAATAAGTGCCTTCACAGGATCTAACTTGTAGAGCACAAGAAATGAGCAAGTATAACCACAGTTTAATTCATATTTGAAATTTTATGTTTATCATTATCTTTATTGAAACATGATCTAAAGTAGCCAGATTACTTGAAGATGGAACCTTAATAAAGAATCTTAATAAAGAATCTTAATAAAGAATAAACTAGCATCAGTAATTTGCATGTTTAAATAATTTCAGTTGTTTTTGTTTTAAAAGTCCAGTAGTGTATTTCCTGTTTGGACGTATCCATGTTGCAAAAACAGCAAAGCTTGCTGGGATGGGAAATCCTAGTAAAGTTAATTTATTGACTGATGTGGAAACCTAGATTCAACATGGAATTTTCCAAAACTCCCAGACCCCCTGTGCATCTTCTGTGTCTCATGTTCTCTCCAAAACACTGTTCTGTTGTTTCATTGTAGCATACCAGCATACACCAGCCAACTCCATCTCCAGGTTCCTACTGCATCCTATTCTGTTTTTGATCCAGGCAGCAGTGTGCTGTTTTCTTTTTAGTTCTCACTGCTGTAAATGCAAATGCTTTGCAAGTATTACAAAACACATTATAGCTATGCCTTTCCTGTAGACTAGGAAGATTATTCAGAGGGAATTCTTTACACATGTATTTAGAAGTGTATTTATTGTGCTTAGTTCTGCCTGTGCAAGACATACTGAAAAAACGAGGCATGCTTTTATGTTCCTGTCCTCCCCTGAAGAAACCAGTATGTGTGGATGCAGCATGTGATCCTTCTTGTTGCTTCTTGTGCTGTGAAGGTGTTCTGTAACACCTCATTTCTATTCAATAACACCAATGCAAAATTATGGAGAGGAGCATGAAAGGAAAGCTATAGTTTCTTCCTGTTTAGATTATAGTAAGGGAAGGAGAAGGACAGATAGGAGACAGATTTATGCTGCAGAGTATATTAAGCATCTCTTGTAAACCTGCTACCTGATTCGGTGCTCTGTATTGTATTCGAATAATCTGGAGCTGCAAATCAATGATCAGTCATGTAAAGCTGGCTATTTAAAGTAGTTTAACAACCCACAACGGCATAAAGCATCCAAAAACTGTAAGTTAATTCTGTCTTTTTCTAGTAGTATTAACGAAATATATCAGCATGTAATTAAATGTGCCACAAAGATGGCTAATTTCAAGGTGCTGAAAGGTCTGTAGGCCGATTTTCTCAGAACCATAGCACTTTACAAAGCTCTTTGTGAAGTATTGATTTCTGAAATTTGTAGCACAGCTGTGTGAAGATTAATGCATAGATTTACTCAAAATTGCAGTTAAAATTGAGAAGCAGAGTCTTGTGATCTCTAACCTCTTGTTAAAACCTCTTGTTTTGATTGTTGTGATTATACAACAATCACCTTTATCTTTTCTTTGTGCCTTTATCTGGTGTTCTTAAAGGCAGAAGGTAATGAGGCAATTACTAAGGAAAAAACCCGTTAATTTATTAGTAACTGTTGAATTGTAGCAGTATATTGTTCTCCTTTATTTTTCTCACCCTTCTTTCTTCAGAGTATTCTTGTGCTGAAACAAGTATCAGAAGAGGAGAATCTGTACTGACTTGTAGATGCAATCAGGATGTGGGATTGCCCATGTATTTTAATATATAGTCTCTTACAAAGCAATTGTGAGGTTTTTTTTCTTTGAAATGTTTTCTTCTCCTTTTCAAACACCACTCCCATTGCAGATGTGGCTCCATGGGAAGTACTGCTGTGATAATTTTCTAACCTAATATACTTGATTTTTCCCAGCTGCCATACAATCATTAAGGTTGGAAAAGACCTTTGGAATCAGCAAGTCCAGTTGTCCAAACATGAACCACTGTGTTTACCACTAAGCCATGTCTCCAAGTGCCATGCCTACATGTCTGAATATTTCCAGGCATGATGATTCCACCACTTTCCTAGTCAGCCTGTTCCATTGCCTGGCCACACTTCCAGTGAAAAAAATTTTCCTCATATCCAATCTAAGCCTTCTCTGGCATAACTAGTGGTTGCTTCCCCTTATCCTACTGCTTTTTTACCTGGAAGAGGAGACCAGCCCCCACCTCACTACAAACTCTTTCCAGGTAGTTGTTGAGAACAATAAAGGCACTGCTGAGACTCCTTTTCCTCATGCTAAACAACTCCAGATTCCATGTTAACATGCACTGTCTCTTGACCCAGAGGGACCACATCTAAGAAGGCAATTTCCCTCTTTAGTAACCTTTCTACTAAATATGTCAATTAAAAAAAAATTAATCAGTACATTATCCATTTCTGTTTGTTTCGCAAGAAAGGACTAACCAGTTCTCCCATATCATTGTGAAAGAATTTCTATGTATGTGTGCTGAGGGTGTGTCCTAAAAGCTTTCAGCATTATTCAAGTGTGTAATAAACTAATGAGTACCCAGATTTCAGGAGCTTGAGTGATACATGGCAGCATGTTGCAGTCACATGGCTAAAACAACTCAAGCAGCTCAAATTCTGTGTGGTGACCTGTCTTTAGGGTGGGGTTAGATTTAAGTCTCTGGTATACATATAACCTCATCAATTTAGGATGAGGTGAGTCTCTATCATCTCAGAGTAGCTCTTCCTCTTTACAAGTGGTGGGGTAATGACGATGCCTAGTGTCATCTACATGCCTGGCTTTTAGAAGGTTGAAGGTAAGTGAAGTGAATTTCAGCTATAGCTCAGGGATGGTATATCTGAGCAGAAATAACTGCTCAGCTGGGAGTTACTAAACTTCAGGTGAAACATGGATCTTACCTTTTGTAAATTTTTAGGCTTCTGCAACAGTGAGATGGGATGGGCTTTCTTAAGACATCTCAGATTAGTCTGATGTCATTTCAAATGTCCAATAAAATAACTTTCAGATAGAAGAACTTTTGTTTGCTGTCATCCAGCCTAGATTTGTGTTTTAAGTTGTGACTCTGAGTAGCCTCATTATCTTGGCTAATTCTGTCAGGAACACTTCGCGTGGCATACTAGTTCAGGATTGCCTCTTCTGTAGCAGCCTCTGTCTTTCATACCTGTAGAATTGCAGTTACTCACTTCAGCAATCTCTCAATTCCTGGTGGGCATACAATTTAAAAAAGAGTGTTCTTGGAACTCTTATATCTGGCCTTTGTTTTAACTTCGTGCCTACCAGTTGCATCTAATACTTCTTTTTTTTTGTCACAGCCTGTGGCTGGTCAGCAGAAAGAGAAAGAAGTAATTTCGGATTACTTGGATGCCACCTTTAGTGAAAAACAAACTAGTGAGGGACATTCATGTTCAGTGGAGCCTGCAGCATGTGCAGAGCCAGCCCAAACCATATCAAGGTAAGTGAGACCTCCTCTGGAAAGTACAGAGATTTTTTCTTCTCATCACCAAATGTTAGAAAAAACAGCAGGGAATGGCTCCTGGAGGCAATGTAACAAGAAACAAACAGAAGCATTTTGAGTATGAGAAATTTATGCATAATAATTCTTAAGTTATTTTTTATGTACTAATTTAATAGATACAATCCATGTGGATGCATTAATGCATTATTTGTCATGTGAATGACTTTAAATGATCAAAGAAAAAATTTTGCCTTTTATTTAAAGATCTGAGATTTAGTTTCTCTGTTGATTTACTCCTTATTTAGTACTACCTAAGTTAGCCTGCTATTACAGCGTTCCTTTTGAAATCAAATGTATTCATATTCTTAGCTCTACAGTAAACACTGATTTATATAGAGAATATTCTCATTGATTCTAAGCAAATCTCTTGTCAGTAAAATTCAGAAATCTACTTCTGAAGACAAGCAGGATCTAGAAACCATCATATGGCATGAATTAATTCTGAATGAGTTTGCAGAAGCTAATCAGAGGAGAAGGAGCAAGAGAATTGACAACAAACGGAGTAAGATCCTCTATGTTCTTATGCAGATTATTATTTGAGCAACTATACTGAATCAAATATATTTAATAATTTTTCCAATGTATTGTGATATGGTTTTCTTTTAAAAATATGGTATAAACATTCGTTTTAAGAATGAAAGTTCTGGATCATTTCCCTTCTTCTGAAAACCCTTATATTATCAACCTAACAGTTAACTTGTTTTCATAAGCTCCTTAAGAATAATGAGATGTTATTCAGGATGCAATTTTTATTATAGTGTTTTATATGAAAAAATTATAGTTCTGAAAAGGAGAAAATTGTTTTTCTGCAGAATGAAAAGGTAGATCCTGAGCTATATTTATTTATCCTTCTACCATTTAGTGTTCTGTTCAAAATCATTATCAGAGCAGTGCCATCCTCAAGAACTGACCTATAAAAACCAGTTTATTCTCTTTTGAGTACCTGCTGTTGTTACCCTGTCTACAGGATTATAGGGCCTTTACTACCACAAAGCACATTTTTGAAGTATTTTTATTTGCAATATGCTTTGTTAGAGAGAAAGATTTTTGGTTTTCACCCTTTGAAGGTACATGCGGAAAAAAATTTTGACCTTGCAGAGGAATTTTTTGGGACAATAAAGAATTTTCTCATTTAGATGTTCACTCCAGCATCTTTAAGATTAGGTCTTATCTGTTGGGTTGTCTTTTTAAGTCCACTCCAACTGGGTTTTTCCATTTACCTACAGTCATTTAAACATCTTACACAAAGATGCTTAAATGAAAAAAAAAAAGAAAATAAATTAAAACCCACAAAGAAGTCCACCTCCAGTTAACAGGATTTAATTCTCTTTTGCAGGATTTCAATTATTCACAGTGGAAGCAGCATTTTGATGAGATTTAAAGTTGAATGACTAGCTGCTTGTCTATTTCAAATTGACTTGCTAGTTTCTACTCAGTAAACAAGTTACAGATTCTTTAGCATGGTTACTACAGAAAGAGTGCACTGCCTGTAGAGGTAGCTTCATGGTAAACCAATCTAGCAAGTTTACCTCCCTTTCACATCAGACCTGTCAAGAGCCCATGAGTCATCTTAGTTTGGCAACTCACTCTAAAAAACTGCCCCATGATAAGTTTTGGTTTGTGTCTGCATGTGTCACTTGTTTTGCACAAGGTCAGGCTCACGGAAAGCTCTAGGGAAGGCACGTGGAAGTAATTGGAAATAGATCCCTTCAAGGAAGATTTTAATGAGATAAAGTATAACATAACTGCATATGATTCTGTTTATTTCTGTGAAGTTTAATCCCTCCTGAACTGCTTGGCTGGTTTGGACAAGCTCTGACTTCTGACTGCATGTCTTAAATGATTGGTATCTTACAAGGCTAGACAGCAGAGAGGAACTGTGTGCTCAGCTGAGGGAAACCCCTATCTATTAGATTCTAAACATCTACTCAGAGTCAAGAATTTAAGAATGTTTGGAATTAGTCCAAGCTCACAGTGTATCACAATGCACAAAACATCAGGCTGCGTGAGTTACAGCTCTAGAAGAAAACGGTGGGATTTAAGGTCTATTTCTGGTGATGCCAAATTGACTTTTGCCTTTTTTGCTTTTATATATTCAGTATGTTCTTTACACATATATTTGTAGCTGCGTAGCCCATTATTGTATTCGTAGTTAGCCCTACTACTTTTCTCTACCTTTTCCCTGCCCTGATAGGCGGAAAGACAAAACACATTCCAGAAGCTCCAAGCTGGGCGTCTAAGGCCCCTATCCTATCTTGGTTCTTCCTGGGAACCAAGGTTGAAACGACCTTTTGGAGACACGTTTGCAAAAACAAAATTTTGTTCCTATCTGAGGGGGAGGATTCAGAATAGGTTTGAACCAGGGGAGAATTACCTCACCACTTCTGTCTCTAATTGTTGATTTTTGTCAGTTAGTTAATTTATAGTAGTTTATATATACAGTTTTGTACAGTTTATAAAACTGTATTCACCCCATGTGGGGTGGGCATTTTCCATATGCCCCCAGAGGCCTCCAATAAAGACCAGCCTTTATGTTATCTCCTATACTAATATGGCTTCAAAAGTTGTTTCATTTCTAGGTTTTTTTCAGGCATCAGTGGCGCGTGGGTGGAGTTCTATGACCTGTGAGGCTTACCTGCTACAGCTTGTGGAGACGAGCAATGCGTATAGGTTGCTGTCTTAAGAATATTTAGTAGATTAATTAGTGGCCTAGGCCTGCACTATGTTTATCTTCAGGGGATTCTTCTGTTGTTTCTTTGTTCCCTTCTTTCTTCCCTCCTTGTTTTTTGTCAGAGGCGAATAGCTCATCTGTGTACTGAAAATAAGTTAAGCCAAGCTGAAAACTGTGATGACTGCATAATGGGAGATAGTGTTTGTTTTGTAAAATACTAAACTAAATATTAAAAACAGTCTCTTTTAAATTTTACTTTTTACATTTAGACCTCATATTCACCTTTCGCTCATTGCAGAAATGACTGAGCTAGTTGTGAAGTAATGAGAAAAGATAACCTGAGGGAGCTAATCTCAATCACTATCCCAGTGTACATACTTCCTCACAAAGCAGAGGTTTCAAAAGATAGATGAGTAAAATGAATGGTGGATAAATTTAAGAAAGGTGAAATTACTGAATAACTGAATAGTTATTGAAATGGTCACCTTGATAATTATTTGAATGCAGAACAGTGGTTTTATTTTCCATTGGGAAGCAGTGCACCTTGCAAAAATGTAATTAGAAATGAAGTCTGAAGTTAAAACACTTCTACAAAGTCATAGTTCTGTGTGTTGAGTATCAGTTGGAGATTTTGTTATGGAATGCATTATAACATCTTTTATTAAATGGCATTACTGTTCTGTTTGTGATGTGTTTTTTGAGATTTTCATTTTTACTAGGTTGAATAAATGTTTGTTTCTTTAGGAAGCTTATTTACTAACTTTGATATAAATTGAAGCCAAGATAAGAGCAAAAAAGATACTTCTCTGTGCAACAGATCTTTTACATTATTTTTCAGGACTAGAAGCCTTTGGTAGGAATTCTGTAAATCCAACTCGAGCCCTTTCACTTTCAACAATCCACAGGAGGAATGTCTATGGTGAGAACTTACTGCATAGAGCTGTTATTCACCAAGACATAAACCTTGTACGTAGGATAATACAAGCTGGTGGAAGTGTAAATGCTCAGGATTATGCTGGTAAGTTGCAATTGTACTAAAATACTATTTTCAGTACAAGTACCTATCTATAACTAATAGAAGAATTACGAGTTTGTACAGTGGACAAGACTATAAGATTGTGACTGGTGAGTTGATTATTAAATTTTTATTGGTTTAACTTAGTACTTGTTCATGGGAAAACATGTAGGTCTAGTTATAAAAGTATACAGGAGAAGAAAATTTTGTGGGAGAAGTTAAGTACTTGAAAAAGTTACAAAGTGACTTTTCAGGACCCTTGATTTTACCCTTTACATCTTGAGAGAAGTTGAGCACTGTTTTGATTTTTTAAAGTTGTGATTACTTAGTATTTTCCATGTTTTCTTTGTCTTGGGCAGGGAAAAAAAATCTGGACAAAGAGCAGCCATCTGTTAATGCTTTGATTCAAGCAGTTTGCCATATCCAGTTTCGTGGGTGTTACTCAAAGACTTCACTACACTTTAATTATTACTTGATTGTTTCAAATATAAGACTGTTCTTAATATGCACTTCCCTGTCTCATCCATTAGTCTCTGAAAAATGTCCATAACAAAAAAATTGTTTCAAACAGCTGGCTCTTCTTCTAGAAAACTTAATTTTTACAGTCCTTCCATATTGTGTTAGCAACTGGAATTTCACAACTGTCCTGTGGGAAAGAAGAAGACCACATTCTGCATTACAGGCTATTGCATAATGCAGGCATATAATGGACAAGAATTAAGGTGGAAATTCTCTGTCTTCTTGAATATATTGAGTGATAGATTGGGTCAGCAGCAAATCTCAGACTTTTACAGCACAGGCATTTGAGCTCACAGATACTTGTAGTATCTACCAATGTGCGTGGGAGGCAGATGAGGAAATATTTTGTTGGTGGGGTTCAAAGCCCTGTGTTGACAACTGAGAAGTGCTGATAGTGTGAGTTCAGCTGCAACCACAGGAGGCAAGTGTACTAAAGTGCAGTAATTTTAGATTTCAGGGTCACAGCTGCTTTCTTTTTCTGCCTTTGCATATTTTGCTAGGCCACCATTTTTTAATCCACCAAGCTCTGGCTGCTGTTTTTTTGGTACAAAAGGAGCAGAGCTGCACAAAGTATCTTTTAGTTGCACTCCTTGAAGAGATGAGAGGTTGACCTGGCCCTGCTTCTTTTGTTTTCAAAGAGGCAGGTGTAATCAGAAAAAAAGTAGACTTAACAGACTTGTGCCATTTTAGCATGCACTTTCATCTTGGTCTCTTTGAGTCATTGTTCTGAATATTACGTTCTTTAAAGCTTCCCCCCAGTGCTTATCCATATCTTAGTCTAGTATTTTTCCCTTATTCCTATGCTGTGGTACTCTGCTTCAGTACCTTACTGAATTTTTGGGATCTTCTGTTGTTTGTTTTGTATTGGGTTTTTTTTCTCCTTTTTATTTCCTGGACATCAGCAGGTAGGATATGGTCAGTGTATTAGAGATACTGTCTTGTGCTCCAAGTTTGAGCCTTGACTCACAGTGTCCTGTGGCATCAGAGAAACAGTTGCATTGAAACTTGTTTGTCCTTGACATGGAACATGCACAGCCTCCTTGCAGATTGATGTTGCTATTCTCTAGTGATTATTAATTTAATGTGTTGCACTTGCAATTTTTCCAGGACTTATTATTAGGTCAGGTAGAGGATACTTTTTACTGAGGGAGAAATCAATACATTCCCCTAAATGCAAATTTTTGTAATCTCCTTAACAGATTTCATAACAAACCTGGTTACTAGGAATATACAATATTCAGGATAGGGTTGTGTGTAAAAGAGCCTTGAGAGTTTTTCTTTCTCATGAAATTAAGATAATTTTGCTTAATGGCACTGAAACAATCTTATTAAGCCTTATTAATTCACATATTTAGTATGTGAATTAGGCCCTGACAACCTTCTGATAATGGAAAACTGTTGAAGAGTAAGACTATCCATCAAAGTGATCTTCTCAGGGGCATGTTAGTTTCAGATCTGGAAGTTAGGAAGTGGAAAATCCTCTGGTTTTCACTTATGTCTCTCACTCTGCTTGTTTAAGGACCTCTTGCATGATTGTGCTAAAACCAGTTCAAAGGCTTACATTCCATATTTTTCCTAAACAGATCCTTCATAGAGTAGAATTCATGTGATATCTTGGGTTTTTTCATATACCTGGGTGTGAATATGGAATTTCACTAGGGATTTTTCATTTATTTGAGCACTCAAACCCTTTTTGGATGGTCTTACAAACATTTTTGTTTGGTAGTAAATAATTAATGTCTTTATTTTTGTCACTTCTTTCTTGCCTACCCTCTTCAGCATAGCCATGTAAATACAAGAGTGCAGTGAAAAATCACCTTGTAAAATAGTGTGTGTGTTTTATTCCAGAAGAAATCACTAAAATATGTAATGAATAATTTTTATTCTCTCCTTTCATAACAGAACTATTAAATCTCAAAGTAATGTTGTTATTGCAGCATCTACTTCCTCATTAGGTGCAAATTTTGTCAAAAGCATGAGACCTCCCAACCCTTGTGACGTTCTCATAAACATTTCTTCATATGTCTTACTGGAAAGCATCAATTTTTACCAATTCAATATATTCTGTGAAGTCTTCATCAGATAGACAACCTAAAACTGACAAAATTTAGAGAATTTTTTTCACTCAAATGTGAAATACATGTTTTTCTTTTTTGTAGGCTTGACAGCACTACATATAGCAAGTGTGGAAGGTTCTTACAGAATAGCCAATCTGCTTTTGAAAGCAGGAGCTGATGTTAATGCTACACAAAATGAACAAATAACACCCTTGCAAGATGCAGTTAAAGAAGGCCATTATGAGGTATATTCAAAATTGAACACAAAGTATGATTTAGGAATAGAGATTATTGTTGTTGAGTCCAGGAAGTCACATAATATTTTTGTATGGGGTTGGTCTTTCTAGATTGAAGAGCTTGCAAGTCCTCTCTATCTGATTTCTATTCAAACACACAATGCTTAACAAATTTGTCCAAAAGGAGAAATTTTTTTGGTGTTGGACAATGTCTGTACTACTGAGGAGTAGATTGCTACCCTTTAATACTATTTCATTCACTGATTTTGTAATCACCCTGCAGCATAACTTCTGACTTGAGCAGTCTTCTGGACTATTAATGACATTTTTTTCATGATTTAGGAGCTATGGATGTATGGTGTGTCATCACAGTCATGCACACCCATGTATTAACACAGAACATGGACAATTAAGAAATAGCCTTGTATTTTGTAGGGTCTTAAACTGAACACTAACTGAATAGACAGTTGGAATTAATGTTGAAATTATATGATAAATGTAGTGGTTTTCTAAACCCGTGCCTGAATTACAGATCTTCTTTCAGTCTTGTAGTGGTCACCTCCACCTGTCTGTGCCTGTTCCTAGGGTGGCCTAAATTTATGTGGGAATTCTGTGTGCCCTTTTTATCTTCTGGCATTTTTTTTCCTGTAGACCTGCGTATATGCTGCAGAGTATATGATATCTATATATTTATATATATATATATATATATAAAATCTTACTGATTCCCAAGATTCTAAAGGGTTTTTCTGGGGGGTGGCTAGTAAGTTTTGTTGCTTAACATTTGATCTTTTTCACAAGTAATATGAGACTTACTCTGTTTCTCCTGGAAAAGTCTCTCTGGAGCAAAGAGGAAAGGTGGACTTCTGGTTAATAATTTTTTCTGAGACTTGAGAGGCCCGGGAATAAATTGCAGCTTCTGTAACACAGACTGTTGCAGGTTCACGAAATATTTCTGAGTTCTGTGACTGTACCTAAGACACCCATGTCCATGATTGTGGATGAAGGACTCTGCATCTCTGCAAGTAATAGTTAAAGGCCTGCAACTTGAGTGATATTGGAAGAATACTGATCTCAACTATGTCACTTGAGGGACAGCAAGATCGTTCAGCAGAGATGAGTTAAAGTTATGCAAGCTGGTATATTCAGAAAGAATAGTACTATGGTATATTTACTCATTGCTCTTTTTTCTCAGTAGTAGTAAAATTGTCTTACTGTAGTGGTCTGTCAGATTCAATTTTGCTGATTTTTGACTAGCAACAAAATAGTGATAATGATTCAGTTATAGTACTTGGAGTAATACGACTTTCAGTAACATGTTATCCAGGAATATGATATTTGTGTTTTTCGAAGCTACCTTCTCTGTGTGAAGTTATTACTGTAGATTGGAAACCCGACTTTTAACTACTTTATAATTTTCTATACTTGCAATATGCAAAATCAATTTCTTTCAGAAAAAATGGTATGTATAGGAAAGATTATCTAGTAGTCCAGTTAAAAGGGAGAGCATACATTTGTGGTGATGCTCTCAATGATCCTGTTATGGAAGAAGTGTTCTCAACATTACTGGTTGACAATATCTAAAGACATGGGACAACTTGTGAAACACAAAAAGGTTTTTGCTGCTAGCTGGATGCTTTTTATTTTACTCTGTTGTTAGAAGAATGTATGAATTAGGAAAACTTCATTAACAATTTTCTCATTAGCAATCTGGTTAGATGGAATGAGGGACTTGAACACGCAGGTGAAGGATGTGTGTCAGTTTCAGTCTGAAATGATATCAGGTGCTGAAGAAAGAAATGCAGAGGTACAAGTACAATCACACTAATGCTGGAATAAGATTGCAGAGTTACCCACAGAAATGAAATAATCAGACTGTAAATTTTCCCATGTCTTAAAAAAGTATTTTGCAAAGGTTGATGGAACATTTTGCTAAAGTGGTAATTTATTGAATAACAACTGATTCAAGCTGATTTTATTTGTAAAAAATGGTAATGTTGGTAGCAAGACCATCTGAATGTGTTTCGTTTGAGCAGATATATGTTGTACACCAGAAATACCTGTCAAAACTTCCCTTGCAGTCACAGGATTCACAATAGACACATCTAGAGCACAATTTATTTTCTCCTAAAGTAGATATCCTAGATGGATAAGTTGACCCGAACCATAAAATCACCTGTTATTTTCTGCCAGTTAAGAGCTATGGGAGGATGAATCCTACCCTGTATTTTCAGGGACCTTGTTTTAATGGATCAGGTTAATAACTGGAACAGTTTATAAAAGGAATAAGGCTATAGGATAATGATATATCTAGGGGAATGCTTGGTGCATATGAACTAGAATAAAGAGGGATTTGATTTTTTACTTGTATAGTCAAGTACAAGAGAGAGAAGCCTGTATAAGGACTCTGAAATATACTGTCAGAGAAGAAATTATCTGAAAAACTTATTTTTCTAGGTAGCAAACTTATTACTTTGGTATGGAGCTGATCCCTTATTAAAAGATCAGATGGGAAGGTGTGCATTAGAAGAAGCCTCTGACCCATCTATGATGAAACTTCTTAAAAGTTATGTAGCAAAATCCAGAAGATGCTCAGTAGCAGGTAGGAAATAACTACTCTCACATAGCATCACTGATAAATGGAGAAATTTGGAACATCTGTTGAATTATATTTCCTTAATTACTGCTAGTACCTCTGTGGCCTTCACTGATGCCTTCAGTTACCAGTGAGCAGTCCTTAGCCTGCACAGTTGATATACATTGACAAAGCATAAAGCATAATGATGTCCAGCTGTTTCTTGGGCTGGAGTTACCTTTTAATTTGAAACGAAGATGTGAAACACAATAGTTGTCTATCTAAATGGAAGATGTAGCATTGACTTGCTGATGGATGAGGTATGGTTTAGAGGTAGAGATAAAATTTGGTTTTAAACTGTCATAAAGTCTGAATTTTGAAGGATCCATAAGATAAAAAACGGGAAACTAGGATTAGATCTAGATCTTGGGGGTTGCCAAGTCTTAATTGGTTTTAGGGCTCAGTACAGGAAAATACTACTGTAGGTAACAGCTAGTGAGTTCCTAAGGAGAAAGTTGGATTAGAGCTAATGATTGGCTAAGGAGAGAGTTTGGTCTTGTACAGTCTTGGGAACTAAGTTATGAAGAAACTTTGGAGCAGGCTGTTTGATCAGAAGCAGGTACAAGGTAAGCCTTGATTGGAGCTAGGATTAAGACCATGGATACCCATGGGCCAGTGTACTATGTTTAAATCAGAAGGAGTACCAGTGCCTCAGACTATTATCTGTTACTGCTTTTCCACAGTGGGTGGCAATAAAGCTGTAATGTGTAGTCCAGGGATAATCAAAAGAAACTTCAGGGCCTTAGGATAGTTGGTAAGGGAATCTGGTAGACAAGTAGTTTTTTCCTCTCTTCTTACAGTTGCGGGCAGGGACATTGGAAGAAGCAGACAAACCTCGTCTATTAATGCATGACTCTGTAGCTAATGTTACTGCCGCAGTTCTGGGTTTTTCAGTAAAGGGATGGTCTGGATGTCCTCAGGCCTTCTGGTGTCAGATGGCATTCACCTTTCTCAGAGAAGGAAGAGGGTCTTTGCTCATAAGTTAGCAGGGCTCATTGACAAAGCTCAAAACTAGACATGAAAGGAGACTGAGATAATATCAGACTAGCCTATGAGAAGCTGTCAGGAGACATGAAGATAGGGTGGGATTAAAGGGATGGGGTGCTAATGAGAGCTCTCAGCCTGCTCTAGGATTCCCTGGGTATCTTGAAGCACACTTGAAGAGAGGAGCAAGGGTTACAGTAAGTTTCAGAAAGAATTGCTCAGGTCACTAATCATCAAGAAAAATTGAAAGTATGATGCCATTCTTTACTCTCACCAAACCTGGTTTAAACAAGATACTACTTGCAATAAAGATTAGACTCCAAAATTTGATAAATATTTTATATATTGATATGTTTTAGGTTCCAATAAAACCCTTATTGGTTTGATATTTTTTCTTGAAAGCTAAATATTTTAAGTAATATTACATGAAATATTGTAGACATAAGATGGTTTATTTGTAAAATAATTTATGATCTCTTTTCAGTTCTGATTGCCTTCTGTCTTTCATTTTCATTTCAGGTGGAACTGTTTCAAAGAACATGTTAAATAGTCAGTGTGTAGAAGATACAAACCAGCACCAGGTACATCTTTACAAAAAAACTGGATTTGATCATAAACTATTGAGGGCTTGCTGACAGTCTTCAGTAATCTAAAGCAGATGACTGTTTGTGAAGTATATTTCAATTCCAGCACACAGTGTGCTAGATATATCCAGCAGGGACTGAGAGTGATCGTCAATGTTAGTCTCATCCTTATTAGTACTTGGGATAAGGTACAGCCTCATGAGGATACAAGACAGAGGCAGGTGTCTCGTGGATAGTGGTTCTTTCTGTTTTTGCAAATGCTGCAGAGCTAATTACAGAAAGCATGGTACATCAGTGACTGTTTGTACATGCAGAAACTTTACTGAAACTGCCATTTTTTTCCTGGCTTGTAGCAGTAAAACAATTATGTCTTGCCTCTGTGTAGAGTAAGTTGTGTTGGGTTTTTAGAGGAAAGATTTGGGAAGCCAATGTCTTGCACAGGGGTTGCACAATTATGCTGTGAGGTTTCAGCAGGATGAGAGAGCTGGTGCCTCATGTGAAGACAAAACACCATGATCAGTCACTTAGGTCAGTGTTTGTGTACAGAACAACAGCTTTTAGCATTAAGAGCTGCATTTTCTCCCTCTGTTTTCTTCCTTTCAACAGTGATAACAGATAATATCTGAGATGTAGAATGTAGTGTGCATAGATATCGCTTTTGGAGCTTTTGAAGTTTTATGTGGTGATGTCCTTGTTGATCACAGTTGTGCAGTTTATGTGTCCTCTGAAATGTGATGGTGTAACAGCATCTGTGGTGTATATTCTCAGATCATACTTTAAAACATTAAATGATTGATAAAGATGGTGCTGTAAGCATTTAATTACATAAATCTATTACTGTAGATTTTTAACTGGTAATTTCAGTTGTCGTGTTATATGTTGCAGTGTGTATCATGGTTCTGTCTCCAGATATAAAGTAATCAGAAGGATAATGCTAGTTAGTCACTGGCCTTTGTACCAGCTGTATTTTGAGATTACTGTGAGTTAATTCTGTGTGATTTTGATGTGTTATTTACCCTTCTTTATAATTTCCTGGAATAATTGCAGACTGGCTTATCAGAAATGTGAAACTAAAGCTCTGGTTTATGACCACAGAAGCAAGACAGTTTTAAAGGCAGATCATTAACTCATTCAATTTTCAAAAATAAATACGAGTAATAAATTCAATAATATTTATTGCTGGATTTCCCCATGAATTTTTACATTATAAAACACATATTTCTTAGTTCCTTAATTTCTTGGTCCTGCAAAAAAAAAGCAGCACAGAGGAAATCAGTTTATTTTATGGCAGCACTGTTTTCTTTTACTATATAATAAAGAATTTATCAGAAAATGAAGTTAATTATATGGCCTGTTTTGGAGATAGAATAAATTGCAAGTGTACTTCAACATGATACTAATGGAGCCTCAAAGGAAGTTTTGCTGAACGTGAATAAAGCAGAAAAACAAATTTGGCTAAAAACACAGGAACCTTTCTCTGAAGGCAGAAAAAAAAAATACCAAGTTCAAAAAAGGCTATTCTTATAGCAGAGGCTGTGAAGGAGAGTAAAACTATTCAGAAATAATATTTCATGTTATATAGACCTCAAGTTTAGTCCCACTTGCAGTTGAAGGAGCTTTACAGAAAGCGTATTTCCCTCATGATGGACCTAATGAAATGGGCCAAACTATTGCTGTATCTGTTCATAATTGTAGCATCCTACTTATTGTTGTAGGGAAACTGAGCTGTCAGGTGGTATTGCAACAGGAATGTAATTCAGCAATGGTACAGTGAAAATTCATTTGCACGAGAAAAGGTCAGCACTGGTGGATGCTCAGCAACTTCTTTGTAAAACGAAGGAGATCACCAATTTGTGTTGTCTCATATCCATGATTTCTGGAGAAAAAGTGTGTGCACAACGTTCTCAGACTGCCTACTTAAGAGCACTTGAGTCTCAGTCAATACTGATTTGCTCTGACTTCCTCTCACAATGTATCTGTTTTAAAGTTACAACAGGACTTGACAGGGATCAACATAGTCTCATGCAGAGTAACGGCACTAGTAGGAGTGACAGGAGTCTAAATACTGAACACCTTCTGAATGATTTTTTGCAAAACTTGACAAGTCAAGTGTAATCTGATGTTAATGGAAATAAAACTAATGGATCAGCCCTAAGTTTAAAACTCTCTTTGTGTTTGCTCTGTCCTTACAGACAGAGGAGTCAGAACCAGCATGTGCAAATCCTCAGGCAAGCCAAAAAGCGAAGGCAGCCCCATATTCCAGCAGCAGCAAGAACAAGCTTCCATCTAATCAATCACAATTGAGTCAAGCATCAGAGCAGCAAACATCTAAGAAGCCAGGTAAAAAGTTAATACTTTATAAACCAGTGGAGTTTTCTTCCAAGGGTACATGAGGAAGGCTTTTAGAAATGTGTGAGGAAAAGTTTTACAAGAAATAGCACGTTGAGCAAATACTCTAGTGAATACCTAAATAGTTCCAGAAATATCTGTGCTCCATTTTACAGAATGCACATTTTGTTTATGTTACATTCATTAGTCTTTCAGCATTGAGGTTGAGGAGATGCAGAATCCTAAGTTAGAGCTTCAAGCTTATCCTTACTTAAGTATTTTACATAAAGAGCAGTTTAAAATAACATTAAATTGGTCATTTGTTAATTGTTTTACGTGTCACAGATCAAAGAACAGGGCTCTCTGTGTATTTGGCACACAAAAATCTACTTATATGTTATAGAATATAATACATCGGACATAGCCGCATCAGGCACAAATCAGCACAGACTGATGGTAGTTCTACCTTTGGATTAGCTGTGGTATAGATACAAATCTACTTCCATGAGACTAAGGATGTAGCATCCTCCAGTAGCTGTGTTCTCTTCTTCCTGCACATGCAGGTTGTGTTTAACATTTTCATCCCATGTCTAAGATTTTCATTTATCATGTAGCCTTACCATCATAATAGAGCCCTGCTCCAACTCATCTTAACCTCTAAATATTTTCACTTACTGATTTTTTGATAAAGCTGGCACTCATTGTGTGTACTTTGTTTTTTTCTGGAACCAGAGAACCATGGTATTGAAGACTTGCTAAAACCAAAACCTGTAGTTCTGATAGGATTCCTCCCCTCTTAAATTCCTCTTAGGATTACTGCTTTATTTCTGCTTTATTCATGTTTAGCAAAACTTCCTTTGAGGCTCCATTAGTATCATGTTGAAGTACACTTGCATTAGGATTCCTCCCTCTCTCTTTCTTTGCCTCCTATTTGTCCTCTTAAGATTTTAAAAAGCTTTGTTTCTAACGTGTTGTATATTTTGGTCTTCTCTGGGATAGCATGTCCCAGCCTACTTTTTTCCTCATAAGAGGTTCTTCAGGTAATGTTTATTCAATAGAATTAATTATTCCCTTCATATCAGGAGAGGGATGCCATTTCAGAGGTGGTGCAAAAAAGTATAGCCCTTTGTTCAGTTGAAGGCCTTAATAAATTTGGAGTCCAGGACAATGGCATTCAGATTACTGTAGAAATAAAGTAGAAAGTGGGATGATGTTTTCTGACTTCTGGGGTTTTCAGATTTTTGCTCTCCTACACTTTTTCATCATTAACTGAACTTTTTATCCCATCTGATTGTTTCTATGTCCTACTGGTCTTCCTTACATTATTCTATTTTTGAATAAAAATCTTTTCTTCACAATTGACACAGTGTCACTTTCATCTACAGTCAGTCACTTACTAGGCTCCCAACATTTCCATTCTGCTTATACAGAAGGAAAGTACAAACAGCTTGCTTCTTTTCTTATAGTTCAACCTGTGGAAATAATTGCTCATAGACCCATGTGGAGGTTTTGAAGGACAATGTCCTTGAAGTTGCTGAGGTATGTCAGCCTAATCCAACCTGATTGCTGGTTACGGTAATCTCTTCATTTTATCTCTGTACTTTGCTGACTGGACTTCGTATTTGCCAAGGTCTGGATCTTTCCTTCTCATGACCCACCTGGCAGTGCATCCCACAGAGAACCAGTATTTTACGATTCACAGACCAATGTCCCATCATGCTTTTGCAAATGTTTCCCAACAGCCGTGAAGCAAGCTGTTGTGCATGACAATTTAACTGGAAAACTTTGCAATTATTTCTCTTCACTTGCAGCCAATATTGCTAAGGTTCATTAGCTTAATGGGCTGTTGTGTGCCTTTTTTTTTTCTTCAATGTCTCTAAAAAGTCCCTAGGACATTCTCCCATGAATCAAAAGGGAGGAAAAGGAAGAGTCAGAAAGCAGATGATTGCTTTGGGAGTTCAGACTCAGAAGCTTTCAGACAAAAGACAATACATTATCTTATGGTAAAGTAGGTCTCAGATTGGAGGAGTATTTTAATGATGTGATGCCTTTGTGTGCTCTAGAATCTCAAGTTTTCATTTGAAAAAGGAGCTTTTGAGTTTTTCTTGTTGCCAATACAGTGTAGGCCAAGCAGCATCAGTGCAGAGAGGATTGCCTAAATGCTTTCTCACAGGTTTGAACAGTCTACAGTGAGCAGTATGGGTATATCCTCACTGTAAGTCTGTCGCTAGTATCATTTCAGCCTGTCTTTCATGTTCTTCCAAATAGTTGTGTATGACAAGCTCCTTGGTTTATTTTGAAGAAAACATTGGAAAAGCCAATTTTCCAGGAGGCAGGAGGTGCCTGAAGAAAGGCAGCTGTCAAGTACAGAAGATGTTTGATACTAATGGATAATGCTGACTGAAAGTATTTGAGAGCTTATTTGATAGGACGAGGAAGATGCAGCAACTAATTGTTCATAGGAATAAAAGGAAGGGAAAAAACATAGATTTGAGTTGCAGAATGCTCATTTAAAACCTTACACTTCTGTGTTCTTTGAATAAATTACATATTTTCAAGAAATCAGAGAAAGAACCCCAGAAACTTTCAAAAAATATCTGATTATTATGATATTGTAATAAAAGGAACAGGAGTTTAAAAAAAGTTAGCATGGATGATAGAGCTTTAGAAGATTTATATATCCTGTCTCTTTGGTTACAGTTTCAGGAGAGGGTTGTTGTTATTCTAGACACATAGTAAGTACTTTGTTCATCTCTTTTTACCGTTGTATCTGTTAGAATTTAGTAGATCTGTTAACTGAAGCTTCAGAATTAGAACCTCTCTGATGACCACATGATAATTAGAGTTAATGTTGTTTGCTTTGTGAACCAGTAAGGATTAAATATATTTGCAATTATGGTTGTGCACAGGTTTAAATGACAAATTATCTATGCTAGTAAACATTACTCAAAGACTTGTAATCAATCTACAGTAGTTTTTCACATCACAGCTATTAAAAAGACTTGTGTGTGTGTGTGTGTGTATATATATATATATATTCATTGAGTTGTATATATATATACACAAATACATATATAGATATATATATATATATATATATATGTCATGCATCTATCTTTTTTCTGATGTGTAGTTTATATATTTAGCAGCCTGGTAACCTGAAAGCAGTCCATGGAGAAACTTAACATATTCCCTATCTCTATACAGTATAAAATTTCAACCTTGTTACCTTCCTTGTGGCTTCCTGATTTGTTGAACCCTTGTTGAACCGTCCAGATTTGACCTGGAAATTCTTAAGTATCCGATCTGCTTGTTATCAGACATGTTGCAGAGGACCTTCTACAGTAACTTTTAACTTTTTGCTGTAGCCAGTTAATGTTATTGAATAATTAAAGCAACAGTATTACACACATTTACAGTAATTCAAATTAATTATGAAGTTTAATTTTCTATTTATACCTTAGCATTCCTTGAAAAAAAAATTCTAATAAGCACCCAATATCTGTTTAGAATCTACCAGGAAAGAAACTGTAATTGTACATGGTACCTGTAAGACAAGACCTGTGAGAAAGACGAAAATTAGGAAAAATGCAAAAGGGGAAACTCAGCTGCATATTGCTGCTAAGAGAGGAAATCTGTCTTTGGTGAAGACTCTAATATCATCTGGAATTTGTGTCAATGAACAGGATTATGCAGGTTTGAAAATTACTCTCTTACGGGCTTGTTTTATACTACAATTTTATATAATCTGTAGTACAGACATGTTTATATAATATATTACAGTTTTACATACATACATATACAATTTTACATAATCTGTAGTATAGACATTTTTGTATAATATGCCTCATTTTAATAAAATTAGAGATTCTTGGCTTAAAATTTTGAGAGGGAAATAATTAAACAAATGCAAGCACACTGTATGAATACATGTTTTTCATGTCAGCTTAGAGGTAATACAGACTATTTCTCAGCAGGGTCTTGTTACTCTACTGAAGAGCACATTTTCAGAGATGTGTTCAGAAATGAACTTGAAAGTTTGGTGGAGCTTATGCACATCATTATATGCATGTATGAAGCACATTCAGACAGGTCTTATTTCCTTCGGAAATAAGAACAAAAACCAGAAGACAAGATTAGGTTTTCCGTTTTCCTGCCTAAATATATAACTTGTTTTCATAGTCTCAAAATGGATGTCTGGCAGACTTGATATTATAAAATGTTAATGGTATTAGAAATCAGATTATTAATATTCCTTAGTTCTTAGAGTTTTTCTACTCCAATATTTATTTTCTTCTATTATTTTTAGTACTGCAGAAGAAAAGAACACAGTGTTTTTCTGCTTAATACTGGATGCATTTTTCTTTGAAGTACACTGAATTACACACAAAATAATTTACCTTGGCATTTCAAGGTGATTACATGTGTAAGATTTATCTTAAGTGCAGCAAAATGTAGAGTTACTAGTTAGTGACCTTTGTGGCTCTTTCCAAATCAGATGCATACTCTATGTTATCTGGCTTTTATTAGGTTGGACAGCAATTCATGAAGCCTCCAACAGAGGATTTACTGATGTAATCTTAGAACTACTGAAAGCGGGTGCTGATGTTAACAGCAGAAGTCTCTGTGGTGTTCTACCAATACACGATGCTGTTTCTGGCAATTATTTGGAGGTATATTTTTCTTTTACATAAGATTTCCTAACACAAATTTCCAACAGAGGGTCAGCAAAGCAAAATCCCCATATCATTAAAGTTACTAACACAATTTTAGTCTAGGTTTGCATTTAGGAGATAAACCAGTATTCTTTAAAGTGATCAAAATTAGAGAAAAGTATTCTTCAATAGTGACAGTTGAAATCGTACAGTTCATTGACTTCTTTAATACAGCAGAGAAATCATAAAAATTCAGAAACTCCCCGTGGTTCTTTGTCAGGTTTGGGTTTCTTAAAAATAATATTAAAGTTGAGCAGTCTCAATTTATTGATAGTCTGGTGCTGCCACAGATGGGAGTGGTGCACTTCACACTTAAGAGAGAAGCAATAATACCCTTTATTGATATAAAACAGTGAGTTAGCAAAGTTCACTGATAAATGTGACAGTTGTTTAACACATTTCTACTGTTTACTGCATAGAGAACAGGGTCTCAACTGTAAGGAGGGACCTCCTGTTAAGTCATGATGTTCAGAAGGGACCCCCTTGCTTTCTAAACTCCTTCTCAGAAAGCTAGATGCAGACTTCATCCCAGACTCAGCAGTTTCTGTCTAAAGGACTACATGCGCACAGTCAATCCTTTCCATCACTTAGCTAAGATTTCTAAGTTTAGTGTCAATTACTGAAAATCTGTTGTGGCAAGGAATTTCTCTGGAATTACTCTGGAGGAGTAACCCTGAGATGTGCCCCTACTCAAGAGGAGGTCCTGATGTGCAGCCCACGGCTGTGTGAGAGACCTCAAAGGGCCCCGGGCTATGCATTGTTTATGAAGTAAGGTGATTGATTTATGGTCATTTGCATACCAATAGGACACCTGGGACTCTGTTGACAGTGCCCTTTGTCCCCCACCAATGCCTAGAGTAAAATGGATGCAACTATCACCACTGCCCCTGGTGGTTGTGGGTTAAGGAGGAGAGCAGAGTAGCACACAGCCATAAAGCCCGCTGTCATGGATGGGATACTTTTTCACCTTGCCCAAAGCCCTGTCCTATCAGACTTCAAACATTTCTTGAGATGAGGTAACCACAACTTCTTTGGGCAATCAGTTCCAGTGTCTCACCTTCATTGTAAAGAAAAGATCCTGGGCCTGTCATTTAAAAATAAACAACTTTTTGTTAACTGGTCCCTTCCAACCCAAACGATTCTGTGGTTCTAGAAGACAGACAATTTCAGTTAGAACAGACCTAGTGATCATCTAGTCCAACTGCCTGAGCCCTTTGAGGTCAAGCAGAATTTAAATCATGTTAGCATTGTCCAAATGTTCCTTAAACATTGACAGGCTTGGGACATTGACTGCCTCTCTAGGAGACTCCTCTAGCACAGACCCATTCCCACTTACCTATCACTGGATCCCAGGGAGAGAAGATGGGTATCTTCCTCCCCACTTCCATGCTCAGGGAGCTGTAGAGAGCAGTGAGGTCACCCCCCAGTCTCCTTTTGTCCAAACTAGACAAGCCCAAAGTCCATAGTGGTTCACAGGACATGTCTTCAAGCACTCTCACCAGCTTTGTTGCCCTCCTCTGGTCAAATTCAGAAACCTTCACATTCTTCTTAAGTTGTGGTGCCCAGCACTGCACAGAAAGAAATAAAATGTTCTTTTGACAGAGTGAATTCTGAGGAAGTGAAGTGTAAAGGTGACGCCAGATTGGCTTAGACATACTTCTTCTATTTCTGTCAGGACAATTCATGTTTCATCATATTTACCCTTTTCTGTGGGCAAGGGTAAAACAAAGGAGATGATTTCACAGGCTTGGAGCCAAACTATCAGTAGGGTTCTTGCAAAGATGTAAGTGTATTATTCAGTATTTGGGGGGAAAACCAACACAGAACATCCTGAACTTCAAGTCAGCATTCTTGTTCTGATGCATTTTCCTACTTAACTGCACTCTGAGTGTAAGAAATAAGAAGAAATGCTAAAGCTGAGAAATCGTACATGTGAAAATTCTTTTACCATCCAAGCTCTGGATGCCTGATTCCACCAGTACTTTCATATGACCTGAATTTAGGGGATCATAATAGACGATTCCACTGATGCCACTAATCTCATTTCCACATTTGCAATTAAGCAAACTTGCAGGTTTTTTGGAATTAGGAAAAAAATCATCAATTCGTGAAACCAAAAGAAATATTAAAGAAAGAAATGCGCTTCTGTTTTGCACTTTGGTCTTCATGCAATTAACCAGCTTCTTTTAATTTAGATACATGGTGTTTTTTAATTTTGTTCTGTGTAACCATAAAATCATAAAAAATAGTACTGTAAAAACAACATGTTTTGTGAAAACTTGTGAATTATTTGTGTATTTTAATGGAAAATGTAAGAAATGTAAGATGAAATCTGTGTTGATAATAGCCAATTATTTGTTTTGTTTAATTTGGATTGCAAGTATAATGATTGTAGAGTTTCTTATTTGAAACTGTATTATTTGTGATGTATGTTAGATATAACACATATAGTTGTATAATAAATCCACAAAAAGAATTAACACTCTACAAATAACAAAAATGCATAATAGGCAGTCAAGATTCTGCTGCAACATGGAGCAGATCCCAATGAGAGGAATGGTTCAGGAGAAAGTGCTTTCAATCAAGCTTGTGATGAAGAAATGAAAGAATTGCTGAAGTCGTATGGTGCTGTAGACTCTGTACTTCCTATTCAAACTGTTGAAGTTACTGGTATGTTAGATTTGTAATATAAATCGTAGGATTACCCTGTAGTCTTAAAGAAAAATCATACATTCAAATAGTATGACACGGATATTTTTAATCCTATTAACTGTTGAATGCTATTTATTTATTTATTTACAGAAAATAGGATGCATGAATGGGTTTTGTTTTTTCTGAGAGAATGAGGTAAAAGAACATATTTGGATATTCAGATTCTTATTATTACCCATATTTCCCTTCACAGAAAGGGAAATGAATAGTTTTGAAAGCGTTAGCTTTGATTTCTTTATGTTACCTAAATTTGATCTCTTTGGCATATACAAGATACTTTTCATTAGTTGATCTGCCATTGCTTCTTTGTAACCTATATTAGCTAATCCAGCCTATGACACTCCTGCAAATTAATCTTAAATTTTATTTATTTTTTCTTAATTCTGGAGAGGGGAAATCAAAACGTCGTTGTCATGACTGCTGTAAATATGATGATGCAGCTTTGGAGTCAGAACAGGAGAAATACAACGTGGTAAGCCTAGATAACAGTTTTGTTATACTACTCTGTGGTGTACAACTTCATAGTGACATTTGCTGACTGAAAAATATATAATTTAAATAATCAAACCATTAAAATATATGTAAAAACAGCATCATGAAGAGAGTTGCAGTAGATAAGTTGTAGTTTATGTATATGAGTATGTTTATTATCACCTTTCTCTGTTCATAATTCCTGTGCATTTAAATTTATTGTGCAAACAGTGATCAATACTGAAACACATTTCTTATTGCTTATAAAAACTGGAAAAAGCTCATGAGTTCTGAAGCTTTTAATCACGTTTTCAGAATGGTTCTTTTTGAATCAGTAATGTGTTGTCATCATGATGAAGATATTTAGGTATTGTTTATCTTAACATAAACAACAAGGAAGATTTTTGCACAAGTTGTTAGCTCTTCCTGCTGTCTGTAACCTGTATCTGCATTGTCTCGATGATGCTGTAACGCTGAAATTCACTGTCCAATCTTTGCCATGCACTCAGAGGTTTCTGGAGGACTCTGAGCATGGACTAGGCTGAGTGCCTCAGCAAACCCAGAGTCTGACAGCCCCTTGCAGGGGCTTGGCACTATGTACCTCTGTCCTACCAGTGCCTCATTGCCTTTACATGCTAATTCCCAACCTGGAATGATTTGAGTCCACTAGTACCTAAACTGCAGGTCATGTATCATGACTTGTTTTGTATGGTGTACTTGGCTCTACTTTTTGTGGTAATTTCTGTGTTTGTTGACAGGAATCTCTTGCTGCTGTACAGGATACAGTAAAGAAGCAGGAAGAACTGTTGCTATTTGAGTTGAGAACTTCCAAAGATGCAGGTAGACATAAATTGAAGTGTTTCACCTATTTTTGGTGCGTAAATATCTTTGACAATATAACTGTGTTTAAAACACCATTACACATAATATATTTGAGTATCTCCTCTGGAAAATACAGCTTCAAAGAATAAGATTTTAATAACACTTCTCAGGTGTGGGCACTTCCTGAAGTACTTTCTATTGCACAGGAATTAATATTATGACAGAAAAGCAAGGCATGCCACTTGGAAGCATGTGTCTTAAGTCAATGGAATTATATAAAAAGGGATCATTAGATAAGGATGCATACTTCTGGCAGCATTATTCAGTTATGAGCACATGAGCCCTTGCATGATCAAGAACAGCTATGTCTGTCTGTAAAGTAGCAGATGCAGCATTTTAATTCTGGTGTGGCTAGACTTCAGGAGCCTTGAAATAATTTATGAGAGAAAAAAAAGAGAATTCTTTACAGCAGACAATGTGAATGATATGCAGTTTAAGAAATGCTGATGCCCAGAGGTGTAATTTGTCTTAGGCTATCAAATCTCAGTTCAGATTAATCTCAAGAATTTACTAAGGAAAAGAGACTTCCTGGGTGATCATGATGCTGCTGCTGTGTAGCTATTGGAGCCTATTGTGTCCATGCGAGATGTTTCAAGAGGCATAGCTTGCTCCCAGAATGCCTTTGACCAAGGTCTTTCTCCCCAGAGGCCCTTGCACATCTAGGCAGGGCTGTTTAATTGGAGCATCTCATACTCACGAAACAGTTTTACTTCCTGACAGGAAGGAAGGGTTTGTTTTAAAATTTATATTCTTAAATACAGGCTGGAGCTTTCAAATGGTATTTATGAGTAAATTAATCCCTTTAAAAATAAATGTCAAATATGGAATTATGTGGATTGATAGCTTCCAACTCAAATTTATGGTGTATGGACTGTTAATTAAAATAGGTGTTTTATTGAAAACTGTTTGACAAATAGGTAATCTACCTACAAGAGGTAGACACCTGTGCACAGACATCAGTATAATTTCATGACTGAGCAAGAAGAGCTATCAGACTTCTCCTTCTCAGGGGTAATCAGATTTCTCTTGTTCAGGGGTATGAGAGAAATTAATATTATTATCTGTTACCACTACTGACAAAAGCATTAGTAATGTAGCACCTCTTAAACTAAGTCATAGTCATTACTATTGATGAGGCACAAGATTGAGCAAGTACATAGAAATACACTGACAAACTTAAAAAGCAGAGTAAAAATCTCAGAAATTTTCTATTAAACTGCCTTAATAAGAGCAATATTTACATATTACTAAGAAGGCAAATACTAGTAGATACTGTGAAAAAGGTTTAGGAAAACATTTTATAAATTCCAATTTAATATTGTAATTTCTCATCTTTCCTGATTATGTAAAGCTTGCATTGACTTTTATAATTACATGAATTAGGTTACAATTTTAGCAAAGTATTCCAGTGGTATGTACTGGCTGTGACTTCTAACTGCCATGTTACATGTCTTAGAAATAGGGTGTATAAAGAAGTATTTAGAATTGCTCTTCTTTGTCATTTAAATTTATAATATGAGTTAGAAGCTATGTAAAGCTGGGACAGATATGCTTTTACCTTTATATGTAACTTGAAACAGTCTAGGTTCATTAAGGTATTTTGCAATACTTCAAACAAAAGTTTTAGGCACCTTGTTAGGATTGTGTAACTTCTGCAGGTAGCCTCAGTATAATTGTAATCTTTTGTAGCTACTTGCAACACAAAGAGGTTCAGATTTTCAGGGCTTATCATCCATAGGGCAGTTCTTTAATTTATTCTTTTTTCTCTTAGTAATTTCCTAAACAAGGTACTTGCACTTCAAAATTTTCCAGTACTTCAGCTATTTTTTTTTATGTTAAACTTGTATTTAATTCTTTCTTATAAGAATTTCACTAAACATATCCAATTGTAAGGAGCTACCAGTATGCATTACAGTATAAGGTACTGCTCTAACAGTGTCTTCATGCTTTGGCTATGTATTTGCTACACTGAAAATGATATTAATGTAATTATACTTCTTATTGCCATCATAATTTTGATTGTTTCAAAATATTGAACAGATGTGTACATCCAAAGGCTGTCTCAGATACAAGATACTTTAGATGAAATACTTGCAAAACAGAAAACAGAGAGGGATATGCTTGCTAAAAAATACAGGTAAGTAGAATACAAGGGTTGTATTCATAGAAAGCTATTCTTTGCAGCAGTAGTGATAGAAGTTGTTAGGAGATCAGCATATAGTGGCATAAAAGTAAATCTATGTGATTTTCATTCAGATTTTTTTGGAAGCATGATTGGTATTGGCTTCTGTTACCTCACATGAAAGAGGAACTTTAGGGTTTAGCTAATGAATGCTTATCACTAGCTATGCTCACAGTAAGCATTAAAATTAGGCAGTAAACAAACAAAACATGTGGAAAAACACAGAATCACAGAATATTTTGAGTTCGAAATAACTCACAAGGATCATTGAGTCCAACTCCTACGCTGCACAGCACTATCCACAAGAATCCCACCAAGTGCCTGAGAGTGCTGTCCAAACACTTCTTGAGCTCTGTCAGGCTCATTGCTGTGACCACTGTCCTGGGGAGCCTCTACCAGTGCTCAGCCACCATCTGGGTGAAGAGCCTTTTCCTGATATCCAACCTAAACCTCCCCTGACACAACTCCAGGCCATTCCCTCAGGTGCTGTCACTGTCACCACAGAAGAAATCAGTGCCTGCCCCTGCTCTTCCCCGCACAAGGAGGCTGTAACTGCAATGAGGTCTCCCCTCAGTGTCCTGGGCTGAACTGACTGTGTGACCTCAGCTGCTCCTCACACAGCTTCCCCTCGAGGCCCTTCACCATCCTTGTGGCCCTCCTTTGGGCACTCTATAGCTTTACATTAGGCTGTTGTGGCACCCAGAGCTGTCTCCAGCGCTCGAGGTGAGGCTGCCCCAGCTCAGAGCAGAGCAGGACAATCCCCTCTCTTGCCTGGCTGGCCATGCTGTCCCTGGTGCCCCCAGGACAGGGATGTCCCTTCTGGCTGCCAGGGCACTGCTGACTCATGTTCAGCTTACTGTTGACCAGGGCCTTCTTTCCATGTTACTGCTCTCCAGCCTCTCATTTCCCAGTCTGTTCATATGTTCAATGTTGCCCGATCCCAAGTGCAGAATCCATTACTTTTCCTTACTGAACTTCATATGGTTGGTGATTGCCCAGTCCTCTGATTTGTTGAATTCTCTCTTCAGGGCCTCCCTGCTCTCAGCGGAGTCAACAATTCCCAGTTTCGTATTGTTAGCCAACTTGCCTAGTATCCCTTCCACTTCTGCATACAAGTCATTAGTGAAGATGCTGAGGAGCACAGATCCAAGGTGGAGCCCTGTGGCAGGTCGCCAGCCTAATATCACCCCATTTGCTAGAAGCCTCTCAGCCCACCTTGTGAGTTAGTTGCTCACCCATTGTGTCAGATGCTCACCCATCATCTCACCTATTAGAGATGGTATCAAAAGTTTTACTGAAATCCAGGAAGATTACCTCACCTGGCTTCCCTTGATCAGCTAGGTGGGCTACCTTGTTGTCATCAGGCTTGATAAGCAGGACTTTTACCCTCATGGAGTCATAATACCTAAGCAGAAATTAGGAAATGGGGATACTGAGCAATTACATTCATTTTGCAGTATCATGGAGGAATGTAGTAGCAGCTGAAGACACTACTTGGAGCGTCCCTGCCTCTGATTTGTTTCTTTAGCACTCATAATCTAGAAGTGTTCAGCCAACAGCCAGCAAGAGCCAGTTAGAGAAATGTCTTGAAGCATGCTTGCAGACATTCATTTTTTTTTGTGAGAACAATTGAAATGTGAGCTAGGATTGCTCATCTTAGTGTGAGCATGGACTGCATGAAATAGCAGCTTCATGATACTAGCTCTCACCAGGCCTCTTTTTACTGCCTTCTGAGAAGGACTCAAGGTTGGTCATGTGGTGAGTGCTCACCTAACAATGTAGCATCCTATTCAACAGATTGTTCTAGGCTAGCTGATGAGGATGTTCCCATTCTTGCTTGTGTAGGCAGGATTTGGTTGGTCATGTAAAAAGCAGCAGTGTGTAGCTTTCCAGCAGTCCTGTGGCAAAATATAAAGGCTGAGCAAAGAGACTGAAATATTCTGTCACAAGCCATTTTGCTAGATACAAAATGTAAGATACACAGATTATAGAGATAACTGGAGGAAAAAAGGATTTTATGAGGAGTTAGAGTTCCAAGTCATCCTTGTGGGCAAAATAGTGACTGAATTAAGAAAGAAGGACAGTAAAATTAATAGCTACACAAACTTATCTATTGTCTAGTTTGAGAGTGCGGTGGTGTTCCAGAGTGAAGTGATAAATATTTCTGGGTATTGCAGATAGCCTGCAGCTAATGTAACAGCCATCTGTCAATAGTAATGAGCTATATTCCAAATCACATTATGCTAACTTTTTATTATTTATATAGTGAACATCTTATTTTTAATTAATTGGCTTATTACTCTTGTCACACAAGCCATAGAAGATCAGGAGGCATCATCACATTTTCCATCTTCCAGTTGTTCGGTTAGTTGGCTCAGAGAGAGAGATACTACTTACATTGTTTCTTTTATTTACTAAGATGTAGGTACTAGCATCTTCTTTACTGAGGTACTTGGATATATCTCTTACCTGAGAAAAATTAGCAAAAAAAGAAGGACTTATTAGTGGCTGTAAGTTACTTTGTGACTTGAGTCACACTGTCTTTGCAGCTTCTTCTGTACTTGTATAGCAATAAAGCAACAAAACTTCCCAGATCAAAAACTGCTAGAAAAGTGTGTAGGAGCCTCACTGGGCTGTGTAGAAGTCCATAGTTGTCATGGATTACTCAGTGGTACGCTGATATGTTGATGGTATGTGTATTCTAAGCACATGAGCTACCAAGCAGTATGACAGTACAGACAGCAATACTGTCAAGCAGTGTTTGTTTTTGTCCTTGTTCTGAGCCATCTAATCTTAGTGTACCTTTGTCCTGATGCCCTCAACAGTCTCTTTTGAGACTGGGGTGGTGTTACCTGCATGGCACTTCTGCAGTGGGTGGCCTTAAAAGCAAACCATACTGCAGTTCCTTATCCCACAGCTTGTGTTATTTCTCTATCTTCCCAAAATGGTGCCAGAGTGGTAGTGATAACATTTATCCCATGAAGAGGAATTAGGAGAAAAGAGTATTATGCTGAGTTGATGGCTCTTGTACCAAAGAAAGTGGGGTAAATAAAGACTTCCCTTCCAGCAGAAAGGAGGTAAAGTTCCCCAGGGAAGGGGTCTCACATGAAGGAGGCTCTGTCTGGGAACAGGATCTCATGAAGGGTACAGCATTCCCAGATTACACAGTCAACATCCTAAACTGTTCTGTCCTCTTTACTTAAAGGTCCTGTGGCATTATTACAATGGTAGCTTTAGGAAATCTTTTGTTGTGTACACCATAAAAAATCCTTACAGTATCATGCTTAGGGAGCTCATCCTGAACTCATTTTACAATGCTCCAAAGTAGACATGAGTTTCAGTGTGCTACTATGATTTGTGGTAATAAAAGAGCAGTTGTTGATACTACAGGCACAGTTACGATTCTTTGAATAAAGGGTGGTATAAGAGTATATATCCTGTGAATTAAGACATGGTATAGGCAAGGCTATTTGATGATTTTTTTTTTGATGAGTTTTTTTGATGATTTGATTTGATGATGAGTTTTGATGATTAGCATTCTAATTCTATATGATTCCCACTTTCATCTTAATTCTACGTCCTTCTATGGGATTCTTCACTCGTTGTCCATAAATGTGGGGTTTGAGCATTAAACTTTATACATGATAAAAATATTGTTCAAATTCTAAATGTTGGCAGAGTCCTTTGAATCTTATTATTGTCCTTTGTGGGTTACATCAATTAAACTCTTTTAATTTTGTATTTACAGTAACTCGTGTCCTTAATTTTTATTTTCTATAGGACTTCAGTGGAATCATTTAAAAGACGTGCACTAAGGAAACAATTAGTTAAACTTGCTTCTAGGCAAAAGAGCCTGTTGATTGTTACCCAAAACCAGGAAATATTAGTGCAGAAAATACAAAATTGCAGGAAAACAAAGCAAATGTTCAATTCATCAGCAGAGAAGCAAATCTCAAACTTAGATATTTTTCATGGAAGTGATACAAGACAAAGTTTGACTGCTAATGAAATCATGTGTCCTAATACGATAGCATTGAATACGGGGCTTGGTGCCAGTGCACCTAATGGAAACAGAGTAGAAGCACACGTCTCTTTGGAAAATAGATTTTCAACTCAGGAATTCATCCAGCACCCACACAGCTGCTTGGATGAGACAGAAGCAAGTAAAGAAGCAATTACAAGCAAAGAGGCCTCTGATCATGCTTTGGCATCTGAAAACAGGGTAAGAGAATACCCCTTTGACAACATGTCAAAGCTGACAAGTGCTGCAGAAGTGATGACACTGCCTTCAGAACCTACTATTTCCACTGCTAAAACTAAGTGCTCACAGCAAAAAGACATTGATTGTGTAGCAATTGTAGGACAAAGAAACAAGTCTTTAAATCCCACTTCAATGACCAACACATTAAATATTGTAGAACCCCGAAGCACTGTTGTCAATAGAAATGTCTATCAGACAACCAGTGACTGCAAGCAGGTTCTTTCACATGAGGATCTGCAGAGATATGTGAATAAGAAAGAAGCTTTCCAACAGCAGCCACAGCAAGCAACTTTGTTAGCATCTACAAAGAATTTCGCTAATACTTCGCAGCAAATGGTCTTGCGAAGTAGTGAGAATTCATTTAATGCCAACCTGATGCTTAGTAATCTTACCTTAAATACAGACTCTCCAGCAAATATCAGTGAGAAATCTTCACAGAGTTATGGTAATCAGGAATGGGAACAAAAACAAGTGAGATATAGATGGAAGAGTAAGAAAAAGCATCAGTTGATAGATCTGCTTGAGTTGGGAATGATAAAGCCTGGAGAAAATGTTTTAGAATTCAAACTGCAGGTAATTGTTGAGAACGAATAATATTAATATTATTGGATAATGAAAATACCCCACACACTATGTTGTGGAAACAGCTGATTTCATGGTTTAGTCTGCATCTTCAGCACTTACTAGTGAATATTTTTTATTCATGGATTGTAGATAACTCTTCATGAGTTTAAAAGGTGACTGATATGAATGAAGTCTTCTGTCTGCACATAATTTTAAGACCCAGAATATCGCATATGTAAAATTTGTGTTTAACTTTGCGTTACCAGTTTGCTAATGTTTCTTATTGCTAGAAGCAGAATGGAATGGTTGGCTGATCTACAGTGTGTAATACCTGGTTTTCATACTGGAAGGAGCAGGAATGTAATTGTTGCTATGACTTAATGTCATTCTTGGAAACAACTGTCAAGTCCCTCAGATAAAAAAAGTGATATTAAGGATTTTGTAGTGCTGTAGTAGGCATGACTACATGCAAAATTACTTGCTTACATGCTGGTTCTGTAAGCATACAGTATAGTATTAACCATATTTAAAAAAAAGTAAAAGTATTTTCTTTTCAAAAGCATATCCCTGTCCCTCCAAATACAGAGCAGATTTGCACAGCAGCTGCCACGGCCTGGCTTAGTATTGAGCATATGAGGGAGTCATTGACTGAATTCCCAGATCTGAGCTAGTATCATGATTTGACACTGGCCAAATGCCAGGCACCCACAAAAGTCGCTCACTTGCCCTTCCCTGCCACAGCTGGGCAGAGGAGAGAGAAAAATTTAATGAAAGCTTCATGAATTGAGATAAGGACAAGGAGAAAACACTCCAAGGACATAACAGTCTCAACTTAGAGGTAAAAAGTGAAATTATTATGAACAAAATCAGAAGAGGATAATGAGAAGTAAAAATAAGCTTTTAAAACACCTTTTCCCCAAATCCCCTTCCTCCGTCCCACCAACAGTGCAGGGAGACAGGGTGTGGGGATTTTGGTCAGTTCTTCACTGAAGTTCTCTTCCACTGCTCAGGGAGAGGAGTCCTTCCCTTCTGAGACCACAGGGTCCCTCCCATGGAACACAGTTCTCTGTGAACTTCCCAGCATATCTCTGTGAGCATCCCAATCTCACGAGCAGCAGTCCTCCCAAAATTGCTGCAGTGTGGGTCACGCTTCCATGGGGTGCAGCCCTCCAAGGACAGGCTGCTCCAGCCTGGAAGCAGGGCCCCCTCTCTCCATCGAGTCTTCCACAGGATCATGGCCTCCTCCAGTCATCCACTTGCTCAGGCACAGACCTTGGTGTCTCCATGTTGTTCCCCTCACATGTTGTCACCTTCTCCTCTTCTCTGGCTAGTAAAAACTGTGCATGTCACCCTGAAAACTAAGCCTTCTGATCTTGTTTTCATAATTTTAGTTACTTTCCCAGGAAAGTAACTGTAAACGTAAGTGACTGTAAACGTAAGTGTTTACACATTCCTTCTTAGAAATGTCTTTGATGGATGTTTCGCATGACCAGTGTGATTGGGAAGGTGGTAACTTATTTATCCAATCCCTAGTCATTGTCAAGAATCTATAAATACTGGAGTCGGAAAATAAAGTTACTTCTTTTCCTGTCACACCAGTGAGATGTGTTCGTGTGCATCATTCCGTGTCCTTTAGCAACTCTGTGTCCACTTTATTTTGATTTTCTTCTCAAATCTGTTATCACAGAGGCATTACCAACATCTCTAATTGGCCCAGGCATAGCCAGCAGCATGTCCCTCCTCAGAGCCATCCCATATTGGTTCTGCCAGACATGGTAGAAGCTTCTGGCAGCTTCTCACAGAAGCCACCTCTGTGCCCCTCCCCACTACCAAAGACCAGGCTGTGCAAAACCAATAACAGCTAGTTAGTTTCCAGCTCAGCATATTGATAAAAACATGAAGAGCTCTTTTCAGCCAACTTACCAGTTTAGTTAATGTAGAAGGAACTCCTTTTCCTATACTTATAATCTCAGGAATGCTTTTCTGCTGAGAGCTGCCATTTCATGTGGTCTTATGTTCTGGAACATAGAGTAGTGTAAGTCACAAGGCTGTACATCAGGCCATGTGATAGGTATGGAGACATGCTTCTGTTTTTTGAAGAACATATAATATTCATTTGAATTGCAAGATGCCTAGGTGGAAGGATGAAAAATTCAGTATGCCTACTGTAATTTTTCAAGACAGTTGTCTGCGATAGCAGCTTGATGGGTGTGGATCCAAAGGAATTATAACCCAATGCTGCAAGTACTGGTATTGAACAGGTAGAGAGAAGTAGAGAAGTCAGTGATCTTTATTAGGATGAAAATAACATTTATGTTTTGGAAGACAAAGCTATAGAAATTGAAATTTAGAAGCCAGTGTCTGTTGCATTGCAAAGATGGTCAGTAAATTTACCTTCTTTATCATTATACAGATGTACTTGATAACAACATACAGATAGTACGTAGTCCTTACTTAAGGTTAGCTTTAGGCTAGCAAAATGCAGTTGTTGAGCGCTGTAGATCTGGGTTGTGAAACTGTGAACTCAGTCGAGTGCTCATTGAAATATTTGGGTTAATCATCTTAATTTAGTTCTTAAAGCAGCCCCAAGCCAGTGGATATGGTGGGAGATGGTTCAGTATTTGCTGGTGCATCATTCTCTTACTTGGATTGTTTAACCTTATGAAAGATAAGCGACCTTACTAAGTTGCAACAGAGTTGATCAGTTGTTGCATTATTTAGCTCTGTTAGTCCAACTGAGGCCAATATGAAAAAAAAATTACTTACTCAACTATAAACAACTATAAATTGTTCTTCTGGAGAGGTGTAAATGTTTGCAGACCTCGGCTGTACTAACATTATGAAAGAGGCATTAACAATAAGTTTATTCATGCTTAATTTTGCATAAGGTAAGGCTGTCACGTTCCTCTTAAAACATGCAAGTGATATCCCTTGATGTAAGTGAAATTTTTGTGCAGATGTGTTTGAATGGTTGCTGGAACTTCTTGTGTAGTAATTTCTTGTTGTACAGATGTGCCTTGTGTAAGTGCCTGAATTCACTACTGCAAATTAATTAATTCAAGGCTTTGTTATGTGTAAGTGGACCTAAGATACAAATACAGTTCTGACAAATACACATAGGGAGATTTGTCCCCTAGTTGGCTAAAGCAACTGGTTATAATTATTTATTCTGGTGGAATAAATAATCTTATTTTATAAAATTTTTGATAGTGGTATTAAATTACTTAACTTTTTCAGAGAAAAACAGAACTCGCTGAAACTTTTCAGCTGTATTGTTCTTTGGTATTTTTCATGTTTCAAGGATCTTATTTCATATTTGTTCATTTATGAATTGAAATTATTTCATTTTTAAGGAATTTAGTCATAAAGCTACACTCTTAAAGAATGGCAAGATCAGAACCAGTAAAGGACAAGTACTACAGAATCCAGTTCAGTGGGTTAAAGATCTACTAGGAAGTGATATTTCTGTGACATGGAAGTATGTGTGGAATAAGGTATGCCTGATTTGATTCTCAAAGTTACCAATAATGAATGGCTGTAACAAGTTTCACTAATCTAGATCTCCATACTGTTCTTAAAGCAAAAGAGGGTATAAGCCTAAATTTTAAACGTCATCTTAATTTTAATGAATGAGCAGCAAAGAAAGAGCTACATAGCTGTATCTGTACAGTGGTGAACTAGTCATTAGTGTTGAAAGAATGCAGAATGCTTACACTGTAAACTAGCAGGGATTTGAAGGAGGAGTTTTAAAGATGATTAAGACTGATAGAGAAAGTTGAAAGGTAGTTTGAATAAAATGTGGCAGACCTACTGAAATATCGGTAGATTAGGCTTACAAGTTAATAAACTTGGTTTTAAAAGAAAAGTAAAGTTTCTACACCTATCAGAAAAAAAAACCCCAAAATACTAATTAAAACAATCAGTTACCCATCTAGATTTCTTTTTACAGGTTACATATCTTGGGACAGAATTGTCAAAATTTAGTGTCAGTGAGGTGTCAGTTTCCAGTGACCTGGAGTTGCCAACACAGAAAGGAAACCCTTCCGGTAGGTACCACTTAAAATCTAATATTCTTCATAATTGAAATCAGCAGTAAGTGATTTCTAAAGAACTTAAAGTCCAAAATTCCTCTATTGCTGATTTTTTTCTGGAGTATATGATTATCACAGATCTTGATCTTGAAATGTAAATAGTGCCAGAACTTTTACATGAAGTCTAAAATAGTACACTTCTTCCATAATTGTATTGTGTGAAGAGAATAGTTACTAATGATTTGGTTGCTGTGTAAAACATTTTTATATGAAAGTATTTACTAAAAAGTGAAGTTTCAAGTAAGCTATTTCAATTTTTTTTAGTCTATTGCAAACTCGGATACACTAGCATAAGCTTTAACCTCATATACGTCTTCAAATCATATTCAGTTATCTGTGTGATGGAAATCCCAGTATGCTCAAGCAACACTAATAACCAGGAGGATATTTTATTCTCTAAAAATAGATAGTCAAAAGAAACAAAGTGCACTGATGTGACAAAATGACACAGAACAGTTTTTTCAGAACTGCCTAGCAAACTTAAGAACTTTAGTCTAATTTTGATAAGCGATGTGTTCTCAGGGAAACACAAGTCCCTTTGACAGCCAGTTGTACTTCAAATCCATAAAGCTTTTTTGCTTTTGGGATTGGTTCTGTTAATTTGATAAGACACTGCAGTTCATGTGAACTGGGATACCAGGGCTGGTCTGTTTTTAACATACTGAAAGTAAATTTAAAGATAATAGTTCAAAAGAGCTAGCTGGATATTCAAGCTACTATGTTCTACTGGTATTTACTTCAAGCCAAGAGCTTCCAGATGCTGAGTTTACTTTGCCTTGCTTCGGTAACTTCAGTTTATACCAGGTGTAAGTGACTTATAACTGGTTTCAGTTTCTGAACTTTTTGATAGACCTTTGAAAATTCCACTAGTTCTTCTGAATTATTTGTATGATGAAAAATGTATGATAAACATTGTAACTTCTAGAACAGAGAGATCAATTTACTCAAAAACTACTCTTGACAAACAAAAATCAGTCTGAAGTTCAGTAAGTGGTTTTCTGTAGTAAGTAGTAGTAGTAAGTAGTCCAGGGTGATCTGCAAGAGAATTTAAGGAAGTATCCTTCCTTAGGGCAAACTTCGAGAGAACTTCCAAATGGGGGTCCCCCAAAAAAAGCAAATTCAAGTGGCCCCTCCCCCAGCTGTTTTGGGAAAAAGATTTCCTTGGAGAAGAGTGGAAAAAACACTTACAGAAACTGAATAATTTCTGGTTTATTTATTTTTTTAATTTTATTTTTATTTTCTGTTTTTATTTATTTATTTAATTATTTTATCTTGTTTTATTAAACAATAAAACCTCCTGCTGTTCGATGAGATGGCAAATCAAGGAAGAAAAGTCCTTTTCATGTGGTGTAGCTCGGCCTGCTCACGTGTTTATCAGTCCCTCCGGTGCTGGAAAGTGCCGAGGCCCAGGCCCCGGTGGGCCACAGCTGTGAGCTCCTGGGGTTTGGCTGGGTGTTCAGTCCAGAGCAGGTTTGCACAGATCCAAGAAAAAGGGGGAAAAAACCAGTCCAGCGAACTCCTCTGCCTCAGCTAGCTAAAAACTAACTAACAGCAAAGGAGAGCTCTGTCCTGCTGTCTGTCCGTGCTGCAGACACCACAGTCCAGGAGCAGCATGTAGGGGAGTGATGCTTTTCCTCAACACAAACTGCGGCTTCTTCTCCCCCCCTTCACTCTCAGAGCCAGTCTTAAAGGTGCAGAACTTAATATGTAACATAAATTAGGTGTCTGGGGATACAAGCATCATAAAGTCACCCCAGGACAGGAAGTTTTTTTGTGATATGTGATTTAAGGTGACAGTAACCACTTCTTAACCACTAGTCTTAAGTGAAAAGTTGAAGGGGGGAATGTCAAAGTTCTCTCAGTTTCAGTTCCATTTAAGATACTGCATGGCCAGATATATAGGATATTAAACAGTGCCTTAAATTATTTCAGAAGAGGATTAATCTGCACTGTTGTTTTGTGGGTACAGGTCTGGTCATTGGGCAACCCTTGAATGATTTCCAAGCTCAATTCATGAGTTAGCTTGTTCCAAGTGCTTTTTCCAGCAGGCACTTTGCCTGCAGCCAGCCAGCTCAAAAGCAGAGGAAAGTTTGTTGGTGTGGTTGTGAACTATTCTTTACTGCTTGCCTGGAGACCTTCCCAGCCACTCTTTTATCTTTCTAATATGACTAGAGCCTGTGTATATTATATAGTAGAAGTTCTTTCTGCTTTTTAGAAAACCAAACTTTTTATTCATACTGTATTAATGATTTTTTTTTCTTTGCATCACAGAGCATTATTAAAAAAGAATACTAGGGCCAGGGAATTTGAGCAATTTTGGAGAAGAATGCTATTATTTTAAATACCCCTCCCTCACTCTCTTTGTAGCTTCCCATACCTTGGCTCAGTGTTCATTGAGCTACTGTATGAAAAGCATGGAGAAATGGGAAGAAAATTATACATGCAGTGGTTGTATCTAGCCATCTTGTAATAGAAAGAAGCATCTACCAATGAACTTTTTGTACAGCCCAGTTTAGGAAGTGTTTCCTAGGAACCCCTACCAAATCAAGGCCCCTTGGCAACAAGAGGAGTTGCTGTTCTGTGGTGGCCAACACATTAATGATCCAGTGTTTCAGCTTGCTTGAGATTAATAAGGGGCTTTAAGGTTTATATAGCATCAGACTTCTAGCTACCTTAGGGGTGTTAGTACAAAAAACTTGAAGAGCCTGTGAAGTAAAGCAGTCCCAGTAAAGTTAAATACCAATGCAGGTATTTAACAGAAGTATTAGAGATTGCAATTTTGGAATTGGTCATTTAAATCTTAACTAAATTTCAGTGTATGTATCTTCAAGTCTGAGTCTTTAGTCTCTTCTAGGATCATGCTAGCAGAAAGTAAGAAATACTGTATTCAAGCCTGAGAGAAAGGTGAACATTAAGCATATAAGCAGTACTTTTTGATTATCTGTATATAGGAAAACAGAAGAAACAGTTATTATATGGCTTAGAATTTCTCTGTGCTTTCTGATACTTGAAATGATGACATAGCATTTGCTAAAAATAACCAAGAAATAACAAGGATTCAGAAGCAGATGTCAGCTGAAGAACAGATGTAAGTTGCAGAGCAAATGTTGGTGTTAGATATTTCACATTGAAATTCCAGCGAAGTGGCTTAAAAGCAAAGCTTATTCAGTTGTTACAGCAAGTGTGATATGCACATTCATTTTGCAGATTGCTATTTCAGGAAGACAGTCTGGAAAACAGCATGACTGGTCCAACTTTTGTGCTCAGGCAATCCCTTACTGCCTTTAATAACCATTAAGCACCTGTAAAGATTAAAACAGCTCTTGTTCACCTTTAGTTCATGAAAGTTCCCAAAGTTTTATGGAAGAAGAGTGTTTTCAAGGGACTCTAAATGATTTCTTAACGGCTGAAACATAAGCTGTTTTGAAAGGTTTATGTTAGTGTTATTTCAGGTATGGAGTATTAAATTTTCAACTGAACTCCGTAGGAATGCTTGAAAGCAAGTAATAAACAAGCCCAAATCATCTTACAGGAGCAACTGCTGTGCTGGTAAAGGAGCAAAGGCAAGTCTGCCATTACATGTGTTAGGTGGTGTTAGGCTAAGTGAAAATATGGAGAAACAAAATAATAAAAATAAAAAGCATAACTTCTCTGTGCATTAAAACATCAGTGTTAAGTGAAACTTTTTGTTTTTTGAACAAAAAGTATCTTTTTATGCTTCCAGGAGAAAAATTTATCATAAGGGACACCAGCATTATCAGTACTAGTAGTGGCTCCATTGCTCAGCCTCTTAGAAGCTTTGACCTGAGTAATATGCAGCCAAACATCACATCCTTGCCACAAACACAAGTTGTGAGAGCTGTGTGCTGAAGGAGAAGCAGTTGTTGCCAGGGAATTTATGAGTAAGTGTTTTTTTAGCAGTCTAGAAAACCTAATGGTGGATGCAAGGGCTATGAAAGAGATATGAAAGGAAAAAGAAAAGTAGGTGGCATGGAATTGATTTGTGTGTGGGTGGGAAAGAGTGCTGGGGAAAAATTATGATGCTGATGAGGGTTTAGATTGATCTAAATGACCCAATAGCAATGTTTTTTAGAGCTCAATATGGTTGTCTCTCCTGTGTCCAAATTAGAAGCATTTTGCTGTTTTGGTGTAGTTAACAAAATAACTTCATTTCAAGTACTCAGTTCAATGTCTCAAAAAATAATAGTATAGAGAAATGTCTTCTGGATTTAGATGGAGAAATATGATACATAAGCATTGCTAAATAAGCTTGTGTAATCTAATTTAAAGGGTGCTGTAGAAATACTGAAGAGGCTCTGACCTTTGTAACTTTGTGTTTTCAGTTTTGCATTTTTACATTGATTGCACATTAAACCCTATCTGTAATACTTGTATGACTTGAACAGTGCCTATTACACTTGATCTGGTATGTTTTGCCTCTTCCACCTGTGATTATGCTACAAAGGGATGACCCTGACTGACCCTGACTGACAGTGCAAAGTTAGAGTGATCAGCTCAAACCCCAGTGCCAGATAACTCAGCACTGGCATGGGTAACAGTGCTGAGCCAGGTCTGCTGTGGGAGGCAGGAAGACAGAAAACAGAAGTCAATCTAGTCTTTTTTTTTGGTCATTGTAAACTAAAAGTGCATCCACATTTTAAAGCAATTCTTAATGCTTCTGTACATAGGCCCTACAGCTATCTTGCAAAGAATTAAGCTGAGAAATCTCTGCAGAAAGTTCTTTGTTATCCCCTTTTTTTTTTTTTTTTTTTTTTTTTTTTTATTAGAAGCAAGCAGACTTATTATCTTAAATGCAGGACAGAGTATTTGGAGGAAAGCGGTCTTTAAAGTTACAAAAAATAGATTGTGTAGTAGTGTAGATTGCTACATTTATTTATATCAAAAAAAGCAGATTGAACTGCTCTTCGATATTAATTGAAAAGTAACAAAGATTA